TCTGGAATAATCTCTTTGGAATGTGCTCCCGGGAGCATCTGGCTGGTCAGGCAGGGATGACCACCTCCCAGTTTCCCACTTCCTGCTGTACCAGTTTTTGTTGTTCCTTGTGTCGAGTCAGCGTCAGGCTTGTTCTTTGGCTGGGCAATGCTAATATTGAACATTTGGCGGTGGAATGAAGGCCACCGTGTACCATAAAGTAGTCCTGCTTTCCATCCCCTTTGTGTTTCTGTTGTAAAATACACTCTGCTCTGAACAATATGCCTTTGTTCTGAAAATCTGTGTGTGTGATCCTGTAATCCAGACAGCTTGGTGAGATGAGTGACTTTCAAGTTGTTTTTTGTTTTTTTTAAACCACAACCACAATAAAAAGTCTATACTAAGCCCAACGCCAGTGACTCACGCCTGTAATCCTAGCTACTCAGGAAGCTGAGATCTGAGGATCCTGGCTCAAAGCCAGCCTGGGCAGGAAAGTCTGTGAATCTTCAAGCCAGAAGTGAAGCTGTGGCTCAAATGGTAGAGCGCCAGCTTTGAGGGGGAAAAAAGAGTTTCCAGACCCTGAGTTCGAGCTTTACCACCAGCACATCTCTTATTGCCCATCTATATAGACTATCCATAATATATATAGCACCTTGGGTGATTTCCTCTCTTTTCTTTGTGTGCTTGTGTTTGTGTGTGCACACATTCGTAGGTGTATACTTCTAGGGATCAAACTAACCTAGGGCTCCAAACATGCGAGGCCAGAACTTTACTACTGAGTTAAATGACCCCTTAAGTCTATGTCTGCGTCTGACTTTTTTTTAAGCTACTGTAACCTACTGAGTTATTTTTTAGGATCTTCTCATAGGTGGAGCCCCCCACCATAACATAGATAAAATTCTAAAGTTTTGTAAAGAATGTTTTGCAAGAGAGTATGTCTGTTGAAATGTCTGGGTGATGTTTTCCTTCCTGATTGAACATAGGTTAAGGAAGAGAGTTAGTTAGCTTATAAGTAGTCAGTACTCTAAATCTTGCTTTGTGATATTATTAGATTTGAAAAAAAAAGTTTGTGTGTGTGTTTTTAATCTGTCAGTCATGGGACTTGAACTCAGGGCCTGGGCACTATCCCTAAGCTCTTTTGCTCAAGGCTAGCACTCTACCACTTTGAGCCACAGTACCACTTCTGTTTCCTGGTTAATTGGAGATAAGAGTCTTATGGACTTTTCTGCTTGGGCTGGCTTTGAACCTCGATCCTCAGATCTCAGCCATCTGAGTAGCTGGGATTACAGGCATGAGCCACTGGTACCCAGCAAAAAGGTGCTTTTTTAAACTCTAGTTATTCAGTAGTAGAGTCATATCCCAGCTTTCTGTAACAATTGGATAAAGACGTTATTTTAGAAACTGTAGAGTGCTTTGAAAGTTAACTTCCTTAGTCCGTACTGTCAATTCTGAGTTCTTGGCTGAGGCTTTTCTGGGCAGCTCTGTCTTATCTATAAATAAAAGTTCTTGTCACAGTTAGTTATATGGAGTCACAGAGGGTGTGACAAGTCAAGTGCCTTACTGGATGCATTTAGGGAAATCAGGATGTTTTTCTGTAAATGTAGACTGTGATTGAGATCTAGTAATCTGGAGTTGGTGGGTAAAGAGAATTAATCTTTACTGAGATACTTTCACATTTACTGTTTAGCACCTTGGGTATATTTTTAAAATGTATGTAGTGATCTGTCTCCAACTCCATTCATTCCTATGATTAGTGGTGAGCATTTTCTTTCTACAGAGAGATCTTAAGGATAAAATTGTATGCTTGCATTTTTTTTTTTTTTTTTGTCAATCATGGGGCTTGAACTCTGGGCCTGGGCGCTGTCCCTCAGCTCTTCAGCTCAAGGCGAGCGCTCTACCACTTGAGCTACAGCGCCACTTCTGGTTTTCTGGTGGTTTATTGGAGATAGAGTCTCACGGTCTCTCCTGCCCGGGCTGGCTTTGAACTGCGATCCTCAGATCTCAGCCTCCTAAGTAGCTAGGATTACAGGCGTGAACCACCAGTGCCCGGCTATGCTTGCATTTTTTGAATTCAGTGGCTAGTGGCCATCCATCAATCCTTTTTTTTTGGGCGGGGGGAACCGGTCGTGGGGCCTGAACTCTGGGCCTGGGCGCTGTCCCTCAGCTCTTCAGCTCTACCAGTTGAGCCACAGTGCCACTTCCGGCTTTTTTCTTTTTGCTTATGTGGTGCTGAGGAATCAAACCCAGGGCCTCAAGCATGCAAGGCAAGCGCTCTACCTCTGAGCCACCTTCCCAGCCCCATCAATCCTTTAAAATGTAATAGTAATCACGCCACTATTTTCTCACATGCAAAATTCTTCTATGCCAAGTGTGGTAGCTTCTGCCTGTAGCCCCAGGAACTCAGGAGGCTGAAGCTAGAAAAATCACTTGAGCTCACAACTTCAAGATCAGCCCGGGGCAATATGAGACCCTGTCTCACACGCTAAATGACAAAAACAGAAGCAAAGCTTATGTTGAAAAATTACTTTAAATTACTCATTGTTCTGATTAGTTTTTGATGTTGTTTGAGGGGGGTAGGGATGAGTTTGGGGGGAGCAGGCTGCCCAACGGGGTCTGAGTCATAGCCTAAGCTAGCCTCAAATTGGAGATTCTCCTGTGTACTCCTCCTGAGAGCTGAGATTGCAGGCCTATGCCACTATACACAGTTCTTTTGCTTAATTGTATAAGACTCTACTAATAGGATTTTTTCCCCTCACTTAGCAGCTTTACAAGTTTATAACTAAACGAGTTTATAAGCTTATGTGAAGAAAGTTTAAGAAGCAGCAATCACGATGCAGTAGGTTGTAGAGTTCTAAAATTCTCCTGGCTTACTTTCATAGTTCCTGTTTGTCTGTACTTCTAGACACCAAACCCTAGTTCTTACTGTACCATACATAGCTCTTATGCAAATATCTCACCACTACTCAGCAGGATGGAGGGCTAAGAACAGAACCAGCTACCTTCCGACTAAAAGTTGACTGCCTGCCACCTGTCCTTGTGTCCCAGGAAAGAAAAACATTTCAGTAGGGAAAAAAAAAATTCCAGGGGAAATAAAATCAGGCGTCCTTCTCTTTTTTAGGTTAGTGAAATGGGAGCCTTGGCATCCTGGCTTGCAAGTTGCTTATTTTAGCATTTGCTTTCCTGTGAAGAACAAGTCTCACCTTGACACAGATTTGCTTTCAGTGAAGAAGTTGCATTATATGAAACATTTTAAAGTCCATTTCAACCCCATGACATCCCATTTTCCTAGGGTTCCAGTGCTCAGGGTCAGATTGCTTATGTTCCATGTGTCCTCGTGCAAGCTTGTGCTTGACACTTCACTGTGGAAAGCAAAGTAGGAAAGAGGTAACAGCATCACATCCTAACCATCAGGAAACAGGAGGTGAGAGGGACTTCCCAGGTGCTAAACAGAGTTGGTTCATTTCCTTTCATTCTGAGGCCCAGGAAACCTGTAGGAAAAAGAAGAAAACGATTTATTTATTTATTTTTAGCCTGCATGGACCTAAGTAAATGTTGAGTTTTTATTGTATTTGTTGAGTGCAATAGAACTTTGTAGAATGTAGTCAGGAATGGAGTTCTTAACCCATTCTGCATATTAGCATACCTGAATTTAAAAACAATCCAATCACACTCCCTACTTGACTTTACAAAGTATATAAAGTATCCAGGATGTCTTGGAAACTTATAGAAGGAAGCATCTTTTTTTTGGGGGGGGGTCCGGTCATAGGGCCTGAACTCTGGGCCTGGGTGCTGTCTCTCAGCTCTTCAGCTCAAGGCTAGCGCTCTACCACTTGAGCCACAGCGCCACTTCTGGCTTTTTTTTCTTTTTGCTTATGTGGTGTTGGGGAATCGAACCCAGGGCCTCATGCATGCAAAGCAAGTGCTCTACCACTGAGCCACCTTCCCAGCCCCAGCATCTACTGTCTTAAATGCTTGGCTCCTGTGACTCCTGCAAGCCTGTAGTGTTATCTCTTTCAGCAAAAACTGAACAGAAAGAAAAAGTCATAAATAAAGAAAAATATTGTTTTTAAGGAAAAGTGCTTCTCAGACAATAAAGTCTTCTAATTGTGTTGGAGGAAGGGCTCTTCTGAGCATTCTTCAGCATCCCATTTTTTTTCAGTGGACTGCCAGTAGCTCACACCTGTAATGTTAGATAGCAGGAGTCTGAGATCTGAGGATCATGGTTCAAAGCCAGACTGGGCAGGAAAGTCTGTGATCCTCTTATCTGAGTTAACCACCAGAAAAAACAAACAAACAAAAAACCCAAAGTGATACTGTGGCTCGCAGTGGTCAAGCGCAAGCCTTGAGTGAAAAAGCTCAGGGACAGCACCCAAGCTCTGAGTTCAAGCCCCACAGTGGTCAAAAAAGAAAAAAATCAATTTTCTTTTCCCTGACCAGTTAGGAAAACAACAACACTGGTAGGGTTGACATTCACTTGATAACAGATCCCATGCAATTTCTATCTCTTTGCCTTTTTTTTTTTGGAACTACTGGGGTTTGAACTCAGAGCCTTGTACTTGCTAGCTACCATTTGATCCCTTCTACCAGCTCCTTTTTGCATTATTTATTTTTGAGATGGGATCTCACTTTATATCCAGGCCAGTCTGGTCTGTGATCCTCCTATTTGTGTTTTTGTCATAGAAATGACAGGTGCACACCACAGTGTGTGGGTGAAGTAGTCTCAGAATCTTCTCTGCGTGGCCTTCGTTTCCTGATCTCTACCTCCCAAGTAGCTGGGATTACAAGCTTTAGCTACCACATGGGCTGTTTTGGTTTTTAACCTCTTTTTTTCCTTTGATCGCACCTGCCTGCTTGCCAAAACATGTTTTGCCTTTAGGAAGTGATCGAGGATCTAAGCTGCTGAAGAGGCATGCTTGCATGCCCCTTAGAAGCCTAGGGGAACAGAGGGGTCTATTTTCAGACAACTTGTGGTTGAAATACTGTACCTGGTATCATTCCCACGCTGTTATCTTCCACAGATCCCTAGCCATTGGAACCAAAGCCGGTTACAAGTTGTTTTCTTTAAGTTCTGTGGAGCATCTGGACCAAGTCCATGGAAGCAGTAAGTGTGTGGGCTGTGTGTGTGTGTGTGTGTGTGTGTGTGTATGTGGTGAGAGAGAGAGACAGAGAGAGAGAGAAAGACAGAGACAGAGACAGACAGAGAAAGACAGAGACAGAGAAAGATCAGATTTAGGGACACTAAATTCTTCTTCTAGACTTTTAATTGGGGTGTGTGTGTGTGTGTGTGTGTGTGTGTGTGTGTGTGTGTGTGTGTGTAGATTAAATTCCAGGCCTTGAGCATGCTAGGTAAATATTCCATCACTGAGCCACATCCCAAGTCCTAGACTTCAATCTTGAGTGTTCTACTTTTTCTCTCCCTTAACCATTAAAGGAGTTGGTGCTCTTCATATTTGAATGTAAGTCATTGTTTCTGCCCACATAAAAATCACACTGACTCTCTAATTAAAAATGGGCAGTAACTTTTGTGGCGCTTTCTTTTCATATGAAGAAATCCTGTGGTTGAAATAGTATCATTGATGTTATTTCTATGTATTTATGTTCACAGTGATCAATTGGTGTAAATGTCAAACCAAAAGATTGCTTGTGACTTCTTTGTTCTTCTACTACTAGAATTATTTGATACCATTTATTCAGTTAGGAAAGTATTTAATTTAATTTAATTTTATTATTTTTTTTTTTGCCAGTCCTGGGGCTTGAACTCAGAGCCTGGGCACTGTCCCTGAGCTTCTTTGCTCAACACTAGTACTTTACCACTTGTGCCACAGCTCCACTTCTGGCTTTTTCTGTTTATGTGGTACTGGGGAATCGAACCCAGGGCTTCATGCATGGTAGGCAAGTACTCTATCACTTGGCCACATTCCCAGCCTGTTGGTTTATTTTAATAAATCAATACTGTCCTGTTTACATAACCCATGTTGAAGATACTGAAGTATTTCTAGTGAACATGAGAAACAATTTGCCTTGGAAATGTGACTGTGATTTTTCTCAAGGTAAAATTATTTGTGCTATTATAATGGGAAAGAATAGATAACCTTCAGGCTTCCTGGAAATAAAGTGACTTGTTAAATAATATTGTGAGCTCATAATTGAGCTGTAAGCTGTTATTATTGTTCCATTTTTGTGAATAGTTTGCTGTGTGCCTGCCTTATTATGTACATTATACAGCTAGTCCAAGAGCATGCCAGGGCTGCATGTGACAGGATGGGCTGTCTCAGGAAGACATTGATGCCTTACCTGTTCACACACTGGAGGATCGCGCATGTACCTGCAATGCTGGCCTTACTGCCTATATCCAGATTATTTTCAACAGAATTGGATCCCAGAAAGGGCCAGAAGCACAGTCAGATGGGGAGGGGCACAGACATAACTCTGTGTGTGTGTGTGTGTGTGTGTGTGTTTTCTCCCACATAGTGGTATTCCTTTAGTGAAACAAGAAGTGTTCTCAGTACAGGGCCTCCCCAAGAAGTAAATCACTCCTATGAAATCTCTCACAGGCAAGGGTAAAGCTAAATTGTTTAGACCTTCTAAAGGGGGGTGGGGAATGTGGTGTAGCAGTAGGAGCTTGCCTAGCATGCACAAAGCCCTGGGTTTCATTCCTCAGCACCATATGAACAGCAAAAGCCAAAATTGGCGCTCTGGCTCCAGTGGTAGAGTACTAGCCTTGAGCAAAAGAAGCTTAGGGACAGTGCCCAGGCTCTGAGTTCAAGCCCTAGCACTGGCTAAAAAAACAAACCTCAAAAAAACAAAACCCTTCTAAATAATTTTTCTTTTTAACTTTATGGTTATTATAAAGGTAATGTACAGAGGGGTTACAGTTACGCAAGTCAGCATAATAAATATGTTTTGTTTTGCTTTTACAATGTCACCCCTTCCTCAGCAAACTTTGGAGCCTTTGGGCTGGAGGGCTGATTTACACACACACACACACACACACACACACACACATCCAGCATGCCTCTGAAGCTCCTGACTACACACACACACACACACACACGCACACACACACGCACACGCATCCAGCATGCCTCTGAAGCTCCTGACCACACACACACATATACACATGCACACATGCACACATGCTCGCGCATGTGCGCGTGCACACACACACACACATCCAGCATGGCTCTGAAGATCCTGACTTTGTGTCCTGGACACTAGTGTTTCTTTACTCTGGTTATTTGGAAAGGAGTACTGTGTGGGAGAGACTGACGGCTCCCAGTGTGACAGGGAAGGTGGGGGTGGGTCATTGTAAATGAGTGCAGCTAGAAGGCCCATTGGTGAACTGGACTGTGTGGTGGAGGCTGAGCTCCCTCCCTCCCAGGGGGCCCGCCCTGCAGCTCACCACTGCTCTGCCTGCAGATGAAATCCCGGATGTGTACATCGTGGAGCGCCTCTTCTCCAGCAGCCTGGTGGTGGTCGTCAGCCACACAAAACCACGCCAGATGAACGTGTATCACTTCAAGAAAGGCACCGAGATCTGTAATTACAGCTACCCCAGCAACATTCTGTCCATAAGGTTGAACCGGCAGGTGAGTAGGCTTGCATCCTCTCGAGAGCTCAGGGCTTCTGCTAGAGAAAGAAGAATGTCTTCCAAAAAAATCCCAAATGTCTTGAAAGCAAGCATCACCTGCTGCAAAGGATGGTAACACGCAGGTTTGGTGTCATGGGAGTGGTTATAATCTACTCTCTGTACCTACTTTTGTGATTCCTCGTCTGTGGCCTGCCAGCTCATGTTCTCTCTTCTAGTGTTGGACACCGACTGGTCAGGGGCACCTTCTTTTGCCGGGGTAGTAAGGATGGGTTGGAACCCTGGCTCTGGGGATGACCTGTCCTCTGAGCTACCATCAGAAGAACCTTAGACAAGAGGAATGCGTCTTCCAGACTTGGTTCTAGGTGTGACCTGTGCTGGTAGTCAGTATATGAAGGCTTGGTGTGCATTCTAGTGCCTGATTACCCTTTAAGACTGCTTAATCAAATCAACCTACAAAGATGAGAACCCTCACAGAGTATCTGAGTATCTGCTGGATTTCCCCTTGTGAGTTCTCTCTCCCTCTAGGTATTCTTCATTAGCAAATAGGACAAGGAAGGGTTACTAAAGGGCCTGAGCCTGTTAACCTCCCCCTGGAATGCTCATTAACTCCAGGTACTTGGCCCCCACTCCCAACACTGCTCAACAATGAAGGCAGAAGCTCATGGAGAGCAGATCTGACAACTCTACCATGAAGCATTTCCTCTCCCAAGGAAATGACTCGAAGCAGGTCTCCAAAGGGTTTGGAGTTTGCTCTGCTTAGAAATTTTAGGATTGGGATGTAATTTTGGTCTAGGCAACTCAGCAGCCAAAGGCCCTCTTTGTGTGTGTGTGTGTGTGTGTGTGTGTGTGTGTGTGTGTGTGTAATGGGGATGGAGCTGTCCGGCAGTGCCCGCAGAGCCATCTGCCCAGGAGGCATGACAAGGGAGCCAGGGAGCATCCTCTTCAGTCGGTGGGATTCTCAGAAGGGTGTTTTGCCGGAGGACGGCCATCAGCCAGATGTGTTTATCTATGTAAACTGTCATCGTTCTTTGACCATCTGCTAATGGCTTTCCAACTTCAGTCTAATCCGATAGGAGCCTGTAAGACCAGATGCTATAATGTTTCATTAATAGGTTAAAAAGTGAGATTTCCTATAAAATATACGAAGCCAACGTGAAAGTGAGTGAAAATTGGCCAAGTTGAAGTCTGGAGAGGGTTCTGGATTGTAGAGTGCTTGTTAACACAGCGGATTCCAGGCTGGGGCCTTCCCCCAAGCTAGCTCTCATGGTAGCCAAGGTAGCCACGCCCCCCCCCCGTGTTTTCTGTATCTGTCACTTTTGATGCTACAGCCAGCATGGGGGGGGTGTGACCAGAAAGTCAGCTGAGAGGGCCTTAGGGCAGATGGGAGATGATTTGGATCAGATCAGAGAAGCTAGATGGAATCTAGTTTCCCACAGGAGGCATGTGGGGGAGCCCCACAGTCTTGGGGCTATCGAGGGGGTGTCTGAAACCTAAGAACAGAAACAAGTATAGACAAAGATGATCGTGTAAATCATGTATTTGTCCTCCATTTTGAAATCCTGTTAGAAGTTTGTGTTCACCTCTCAGCATCTAGTCTCAACCTGTGGCCACAGATTCTTAATTAAAACAGAGAAAAGTGTTTGAACTTTCTTTTCTACCTGGCTATAGTGGGTGTTCTACATTTTTTCTGAACTGGGAGGAGTCCTACTAGGATAACATGTTTTCTGTGGAGGAGTGTTAGTTAACCTTTTTGTAATATTTTTAGGTATCTTCCTTTCCAAAAATGATTCTGGTAGTCAAAAGTAGCTGGTCTAGCCAGGTGCCAGTGGCTTATACATGTATCTACTCAGGAAGTTGAGTTTGGAAGATCACAATGCGTAGCCAGGTCAGGCAGGAAAGTATGTGATATTCTTTTTTTTTTTTTTTTGCCAGTCGTGGACCTGGACTCTGGGCCTACGCGCTGTCTCTCAGCTCTTCAGCTCAAGGCAAGCACTCTACCACTTGAGCCACAGCGCCACTTCTGGCTTTTTCTGTTTATGTGGTGCTGAGGAATCAAACCCAGGGCCTTATGCATGCAAGGCAAGCATTCTACCACTGAGCCACCTTCCCAGCCCAGTTTGTGATATTCTTAATCTCCACTTAACCAGAAAAAAGCCAGAAGTAGAGGTGTGTTAACTCAAGGGGTAGAGCGCTGGCTTTGAGTGGGAAAAGCTGAAGAACAGTACCTGGCCTCACACATGCTCACACACATCCACCCACACCCACCCATACACACAAAGGGCCTGGCCTGGCCTGAGAGCAACGGTTCCCAAACCTTGGTATGCATAGTAATTTCCTGGGACACTTGTGTAAAGATGCTTCAAACCAGATTCTCAGAAGAACACAGGGAGGCTGGGAATGTGGCTCAGTGGGAGAGTGCTTGCCTAGCATGCATGAAGCTCTGGGTTCAATTCCTCAGTACCACATAAACAGAAAAAGCCAGAAGTGGTGCTGTGGCTCAAGTGGTAGAGTCAGGGACAGTGCTCAGGCCCTGGGTTCAAGCTCCAAGACCTGCAAAAAAAAAAAAAGTCCAGAGTTCACTGGTTCAGGAAATCTGGCACGCACAGTCTGAGAAGCAGTAACCTGAAAAGAGCCAAGCCGGGGGCCATCCCCCTATAAGTGCCTACTGGCACTTGTGCTGGGTTCCACACTACACTTTAGACAGTGAGTTGCCTGGCAGCACAAGGGTGGGAGAGCACCAAGAAAGGTGCTGGGGTGGGCGTGGGGGTGGGGACTCAGCCCTGGGGAGGGTGTGCTGTGGGGGCTGAGGGGCTTCGCCAGCCCTCTTTATCAACACTGGTTCAGATTTCAGAGTTCTGCAGATTTGGGAATATTTGCATAGGCTTCACTAGTTGAGCATCTCAGATCTGATAGTCACCATCTGAAAGTTACTGAGCACGGATGCTCACATTTTGCCCCAGAGCATTGGAGACTTTTGGCTTCGGGATGCTCAAGCTGTATTTGGAGAGGGTAACATCGAGGGTTTGGCAATACAAAGCGTACAAAGAAATTTACACTGGGGAGCAAGGGGCCTTTTATCAGCATTGAAAGGCACCCTGTCAGGTGAGATTAGAAAGAAGGGGGTTCCAAGAATGGAAAGAAGGAAGAGAAGGTGAAGGAAAGGAGAAAGAGGAAGAACAAGAAAGGGAGGGAGGAAGGGAGGCAGGGAGGGAGGGAGGGAAAGTGAATAAAAGGGAGAGGAAGAAGGAAGGGAGGGGATAAAGGAGAAGGAAAGAGAAGAAGAGGAAAGGAAAAGGGAGGAAAAGAAGAAAGAAGGAGGGGAAGGAGCAAGGGAGGGGAAATGTTTCTAAAAACATTTTTAAGATCTTTATTTTAAGCTTCTGTTCGAGTGTATAATGATGTGTGTGTGTGAGTGCATACACAAACATAATCTTCAAGAGGCATCATTAACATTCTTTCTCCTTTAGGCACAGAATTACGTTAGGACTCATGAAAGACAAGCGGGTTGGATTTGTGGTCCCTTTTCAAGCACTCTGAGGCTGATGAGTCTATGTGATTACAGAGGCTGCTGGTCTGCTTGGAGGAATCCATTTATATCCACAACATTAAAGATATGAAGCTGTTGAAGACCCTCCTGGATATTCCTCCTAACCCAACAGGTAAACTCCAATCACAGAACCAAGCCCTGCACCCCTCCCCTCTCTCCCCCAAGTCCAGACATTCGCTTTCTTTGTCAAGTTATTTTTTTCCAGCTAGACTGAAAACCCTAGTGGTGTTGGTCTTGATGGTATTGACCTTGAAGTTGAGTGCTGGCCCACTGTGTAGTTAGGCTTTTAGGAGGCTGGTGTGGCTGCTCTGCAGCCCAAGAGCTGCACCTTTTCCTGGGATCCGGGACAGCCAAGGAGCTGAGCTGTGTAAGGTAGATGCGTGGGAGTCCCTGGGAGCCTGGTGTTAAAAGCTATTTGCCCCCAACACTTTTTTGTGGTTGTTCGTTATGGAGTAGGTATGATAATTAGAAGCAGGTTCTGACTTGGTACGTCTACACACCAAGCACAAGGATTGGGTTTTATTCCATTACAAAGAAATCTCTTGACTTGTGTGATATTAGCTAGGGTATGAGATGTTGACTAAAGTCTCAGGATTTGACACTGATTGAAGCTCTTTGGTATTGAAGAACGGAAATAGTTTGAGTGGGTCAAGCCTGTCATCCCTACCCACTCAGGAGGCTGAGATCCTTAAGGATGACAGTTCAAAGCCAGCTTGAGCAGAAAAGTTCACAAGACTCCATTTCCAAAATAACTGGCAAAAAAGCTGGCTGCAGGCATTACTCAAGTAGTAGAATGCCAGCCGAGCGAGTGTGAAGCCCTGAGTTCAAACCCTAGTACTTCCAATAAAAGAGAAAAGAAATAGCACAGGATAACCCTTTCTTATTTTATTTGGTTTTACTTTTGTCAGGCGTGGAGTTGTGAGCTCAGGGCCTGGGTGCTGTCCCTGAGCTGTTTAGGCGCCAGGCTAGACTCTACCACTTTGAGCCACAGTGCCATTTCTGGTTTTCTGGTGGTTAATTGGAGATAAGAGTCTCATGGACTTCCCTGCCTGGGCTGGCTTCTAACTGTGATCCTCAGATCTGTCTTGGGAGTATGTAGGACTGCTGGCGTGAGCCTCCAGCACCTGACTAGGTGATGATCTTTTTATGAACTCACTGCACTAAGAGTGAACCAGAAGGAATCTCTTTACTGGGGGGGAGGGGGTGGGAGGGGTGGGTCAAGGTATCATCACATGAGAGCAGTCATACGGAATAATGCAAGTTAATGTTTATAAGTTGTATTCTAGATAAGGCCGGTCACCTGCTGCCGTGCACTGCAGTTTTCTCCCAGGGCTTGACTTCCATGTGGCCATCCTCAACCAGGTGTCTACCTTAATGACGTGAACTTTTTACGCCCCCCCCTTTCTTCATTCATAGCATAAGACAGTGACAGATGTATCATAGCTTCACTAAGCATTAAACGGGGTGATGTTTCTGAAAGTGGCCATTGCAGGACCCACTGTGCGGTAACCATTCCTGATACATCTCAGTGATCTAGAGTCTCGCACATGCTAAGCGCTACCACCGAGCTACACCCTGGCCACCTGGTCACCTCGAGGCTATTATAAAGGTCTCTGAGGTAATGACTTGGAAGCGTTTTTCTCAGAAGGAAACCATTTATGGTGGTTAAGTTTGTGTTTGTTTGTCTTAGAAATGAGGGGTTTAAACAATCTTAACAAGGGCTGAGAGTGTAGCTTAGTGGTAGAGTGCTTGCCTAGCATGCATGAGGACCTGGGTTCGATTCCTCGGTACCACATGAACAGAAAATAAATAAAATTAATTTAAAAAACCCTAGGGGAGAAAAACAAAAACCTAATCTGAACAAGCATTTATTGAAAATGGGCACCAGGGGGCGCCCACAGGTTCAGCTATGTCAGCTGCTCAACCCCAAACCAAGATGGCCGCAGTTCCCTGAGCCTGTCCATTCTAGGCCAATATGAGACCCAAGGCCTGGCTGCCTGGAACAGGGGTGGGATGGGGGTGTGCCTGTGAGTGTGGACCGTGGGAGGGAGGGAAATGGGCTTTGATGGGATGGGGCGTGTCTGAGTGAAGCAGAGCTCCCACAGGGATGGGCCCGAGCTGTGACTTGCTCAAAGTTTGCTCTCATTCTCTCTGAAGAGGGGAATTTCCTGCCTTATACCTACTTTGCACTCGAGCTTTCACACCAGATGACCTGTAAGCACTGAGGCACGCTCCCTGCCCTCCACCTGCTTATTTTTAATCCTGCATTACAGTCCCGTGTCTCTGATGGACAGGGAAGAGCTCTGAGGAAGCTCACTGTCAGGTGATCTCATCATTGCGTGAACTCCATAGTGTGTCCATACACAAAGCTAGACAGTCGAGCATGGGGCACCCCCGAGGTGGCACTCCTAGGTGGCACCCGTGGCCCATCATCCACCAAAACTCGTTACTGGGCTTACGACTATAGTTAGTTCCACTTCAGCCTAGAAAACTCACTGGTTGCCTCGATCTTTACAGTGAGATGGGAACCTGGAAGAAAATAAGGTTGCAAAGTGCCAGGCTATGTTCCACACAAAAGGGACTAATTTTTATCATAAGAAAAAAAAATAGAGGGCTGGGAATGTGGCTTAGTGGTAGAGTGCTTGCCTATCATGCATGAAGCCCTGGGTTCGATTCCTCAATACCACATAAACAGAAAGAGCCAGAAGTGGCACTGTGGTTCAAGTGGTAGAGTGTTAGCCTTGAGCAAAAAGAAACTCAGGGACAGTGCCCAGGCCCTGAGTTCAAGCCCCAGGACTGTCAAAACAAAACAAAAAGAAAAGAAAGAAAAGAAATAGAGCTAGGTGCTGGTGTCTTACACCTATAATCCTAACTACTCAGGAGGTTGAGATGTGAGGATCTAGGTTCAAATCCAGGGCAGGCAGCAAAGTCCATGAGACTCTTACCTCCAATTAACCAGCAAAAGCTGGAAGTGGGGCTGTGTGTCAAGTGAGAAAACATTTGTCTTGAGTGAAAAAAGCTAAGAGACAGCACGCAGGAACCTGAGTTCAAGCCCAAGTACTAAGCCTCAGATAAACATTATAAAAGGATCTAAGAATATACCGAGCATTTCCTTTGCAAGGGTCAGAGTCAGGTTGACCGCAGTGTATCGCTTTAGACTGCCGATGTTCTTGGGGACCATAGCCCCCCACTACTTTTCCAAATCCTCTATAATTATCACCCCAGCTGCTACTGAGTTCGCTTCCTGCAGCAGGCAAATGAGGTGATCATTTTCCTCCCCAAGACTTGCACGGGGAGGTTAGCCAAGGTCACCTGTGAGTGAGCCAGCGTGGGTCCCCATGTCCACACACACCATCAGACCCCACAAATCAGAGCTCCCGTGATGTGGTCGCTTCTTCCCCCTGGCCAACCTAAGCTGTCAAAACCAGGAGCCTAAAATTCCCCGAGGCAAGACACTCCTTGTCTGTACTTTTTCTCTTCGTTTATTTTCTGACTCAAAATGTCAAACGGAAACCCTGGCTCTTGATGTTAAGAGTTCCTTTCTGGAGAAGTAGGGGAACAAAATGGCTTGCTTCCCTGGCTTTTGCGGGTAAATGCTGAGAAGCAGGTCTCAACATAGTAAACGCTAGACATCCGTTAGATCCACGGAGTTCCCCTTGCGCTTCAAGCTCTGTATTGAATGTGGCTGTAAATTTCCTTCCTTCTATCACCACCGCTGTGTCTTGCATGTTCCCGTTGGGTCAAAGATTGCAGGCTGTTTCCTTTGGTGTGACCAGTCGGGGCTCAGGGTGAATTTCCTGACAGCACAGCAGTGTGTGCCGGTGCCCTGGGCAGCCAAGGGTGGAGATCTCCGGGACAGTCAGGCCAGCTGTGGAGACAAGGGTGATAGGGGCCCTCCCCTATCGAAGGCGTAGAGGGAATGTTCTAGATCATGCAGCAACAGGATCATGGGACAGAGCTATGGTTTATTCTTCAGCAGGTCTCCTTTCAGCAAATGATGATTTTTCACAATCACATGGAGTTCTCCTGTTTTTAGAAACTGGAAAGCAGTTCATAGATATGGTGCCTAGTACAGACTGGACCTTGTGTATGTTAAGTACACACTATACCACTGAGCTACACCTCTGTGTGTGTGTGTGTGTGTGTGTGTGTGTGAGAGAGAGAGAGAGAGAGAGAGAGAGAGACTGTGTGTGTGTGAGAGAGAGAGAGAGACTGTGTGTGTGTGTGTGTGTGTGTGCTGGTAACTTGGGTTTGAACTCAGGGTCCAGGCACTGTCCCATAGTTTCTTGCTCAAGACTAGTGCTTTACCACTTGAACCCCAACTCCACTTCAACTTTTTAGTGGTTCATTAGAGATAAGTCTCATGGACTTTACTGCCTAGGCTGGCTTCAAACTGCAATCCGCAGATCTCAGTCTCCTGAGAAGTTACATTTACAGCCACCAGCACCCCACACCATGTTTAACTTTTGAAGAAGTGTCAGACTGCCTTCCAAAGCAGTGTCCCATTTCCGTTGCCTCTGGCAGTAGACAGGTCTCCAATCTCTGCCAAGACTGGTAATCTGCCCTTCTTACTGTAGCCATGCTAGTGGGTGAGATGTGGTAGTTGTCTCTAGGTTTAGCACTGCTCTTTTCAAACCTAAGCACTCAGAAATCCTTAGTAATTACCTTCTGCATCTGTAAGATCTCAACTGGCCTCAAATCCAAATACATTCCCTTTTGTATTCAGAATTCAAGGCCTTGAGCTGGCTAAGCAGGTGCTCTACCACTCGAGCCATACTCCCAGCCTTTTTCATAGTTGGTTTATTAAGTTGAGAGAGCAAAAAAAAATTGTTAAGTGAAGTAAGTTAGGCTAAAGCAGTCACATGTTGCATATTTCTCTCATATATGGAAGTTAGATCTAGATTACAAACATATATGAGTGTATGCATGGGAGGATTCCAGTGTACTTAATTTGTTTATTCAGATAGGGTCTTGAGCTTTTGTCTGGGCTTCATTTCAGACCTTGATCTCCCTACCTCTGCTTCTTGAGTAACTGGAATTACAGGAGTGAGTCACCATAGCTGGCTCATGCACTCTCAACTTCTCTGCTGCTGCTCCTACGGGAACCCATGGACAAGCCCCTGCCATCTCCTGAGTTCTCCAGGGCCAGCATGCCTTTTGCCTGCCTTGCTCGCCTTGGAATTCCATGTGGATTGAATGAACTCAGATGGGACTGGGCGTTAGAGATCTCAGAGCAAAACTGGGAAGGTGCAAGTGGCCTCTTCTAAAGCCAGGGCCAGAGTGACCTTGTACAGGCGAGGGGTTACAGCAGGCCAGAGCCTCAGTGAAGAACGCCAGTGCTCACATTGTGTGTGACAGGCGATAAGAACGCAGGCTGGGCTGTATGCTCAGCAAAGCCAGGGCAGGAAACAAGATCTGCTTCCAGCTCTTATCATTCAGTTTGTTTTTCTCTCTTTTCTCTCCCTCGCAGAGGTGAGGAACTTTTTGGCCTAATGTAAAGTTTTCCTTATACTTTTATTAAAAAACAACAACAACAACACTTCAGCTGGATACTAGTGGCCCATGCCTATAATCCTAGCTACTCAGGAGGCTGAGATCTGAGGATCATGGTTTGAAGCCAGCCTGGACAGGAAAGGCCATGAGACTCTTATCTCCAATTAACCACACAAAAACAAAAACAAAAAACTGAAAGTGTTAGGGTGCCACCTTTGAGTGAAAAAGCTAAGGGACAGCACCCAGGCCCTGAATTCAAGTCCCAGTATTAGCATGAAAAACAAAACAAAAAAACCAAAAAACACTTCACATACTAACTTGTAACAAAGGTATCAGTCACCTTTTTTGGTATGTGTGTGCCAATCCTGGGCCTTGAACTCAAGGCCTGGGCGCCGAGCTGTTTTGCTCATGGCTAGTATTCTACCTCTTGAACCACTTCGAGCTTTTTGGTAGTTAATTGGAGCTAAGAGTCTCAAAGATGTTTGCACCAGAGCTGACTTTGAACCTTGATCCTCAGTTCACAGCCTCCTGAGTAGCTAGGATTACAGGCATGAGCCACCTGCCCTGGCCTTTTATTTTATTTTTTCCAAATTAAATCTCCCTTGCATAATCTTCTCAAAGTTCCTATTTTAGCAATACTTTAATCGTGTGGGATTCTTTTAATTCACTGCTATGGCATATGATCCTCATAATCTAAATTATTGTGAAAAGTCTTTACTTAAATGCTGTAGGGACCATCCCTCCCACTTCCTTGAGTCTCCTGGTAAATTAATATGGCTCACGTGACCTCAGTGGCTTGGCCCTGTTTGCGTTTCTAGAGGAGGTCAAAGCATCTTCAGTCCCAAATATCCTGTGTACTTTGTTTGCTTCAAAGACCGGGCTGGAAGTCTTAACTCAGATGCAGATACAGTGGCCGTTCACCTCTGCAGACACCCTTTCCTTATCGAAGCAGGGTGTTCACGCTTCCTCCCCTCTCTAGCCTGAGCTTCCTTGGCAGCTGTCTAAGGTCAGTCTAGCACACACATGCCTTTCCTGGTCGGAAATTCTAGTTCAGTTAGGAGTACATTTTCCTGTACCCCAGAAGGTAATGGGAATTGGAAGATGAATCGATGTTGTTGTAGAGCCCCGGGATGAAAGTGTGAAGGAGACCATTTTAAATTTTCTCCATTTTGATCGGAAAGGACATGGCCAGGGTTCACTCAGTAACTGCTTCATTGAAATTCTTCAAGTAACCCAACAGAAAGGAAATGCTGCCACGCCGTTCCTCCCCTCACCAGTAGGTGGCACTCTAGTAGTACTCTTTCCGGGCACCCTTCCCTTGGACATCGTCTTCATTGCCTTTGTTCTTTTCTAGGTCTGTGTGCCCTCTCTATCAACCATTCCAATTCTTACCTGGCCTATCCTGGAAGCCAGACAACAGGCGAGATTGTGCTTTATGATGGGAACTCCCTGGTAAGTGGGTCCTCCTCCCTTAACCCTGTGGTTAAGGAAGGCCCGCTGGGTGGGGTGAGGTATGGGAGTTTCCCACTCCTGGCTGGGTGGAGGAAAAGGTAATGATGTTTACCCTGAGACCCTCCATCAGACAACTGTAGTATGGTAGCCAGGTGCCAGAACATCTGTAGCGTGATGCAGTCGCCTGCCAGCTAGTGGCTGAGTTGTCGGACTGGGTCACACAGGGCCCAGGTGTGGCCTGTCACCCATCCCTGCCCACTGTTCTTCCAAAGCTTCCTTGCTACCCAAGAAGAAGGTTGTGCAGCTAATGAGCAAGTGGGCTGGTGGAGAGAGGGAGACAGGGAATCCAGCAGATGAGGGAGAGGCAGGAGAGAGGAAGGCGAGGGAGATGAGATCTACCCCAGAGCCATCCCTTCTTGTCACCACCAGAAAACTGTCTGCACCATCGCAGCCCACGAGGGATCGCTGGCTGCCCTTGCCTTCAACTCCTCAGGCTCCAGACTGGCGAGCGCGTCGGAGAAAGTAAGTGTGCTCGCAGCTTCTCCTCTTGTCTGTGGGTTCACCGGATGGTTCTGGAGGTACCCCAAGATCTGGGGCAAGCTGGTAACATGAAGTCTGATGAGTCTCTTGGCCTTCTCAGATTATTGTGCCAGCACGCGTGCGCACACACACACACACGTGTGCACATGCTAGTACTGGTGCTTGAACTCGGCCCCATGCTCTCACTTGGCTTTTTCCGCTCAGTCTAGCACTGTACCACTTGAAACGCTTCCAGCATAAGAGTTTCTCAGGTTGGTCTTCCTCTGCTAGCTTCAAACCTTGATCTTCAGATCTCAGCCTTCTGAATAGCTAGGATTACAGGTGTGAGCCACCAGTACCTGGCTCCGAACTTGTTTAAGGGTGTGGATTTCAGATCCCTGCCCCCACCACCTACAACATACCATCTTATTGAGAAATGTGCATGCGTTTCTGTCCACAGATGCAGATAGACTCTGCCTTTCTTAAACATAGTATCCACTAAATGTTTAGCTGTCTAGTCAGAGAGATTGATCTTCTCTGACTGGAATAATCGTAGAACCTAAGTTCAATTGTCATTCAAAGCAGGTGTATTTTTATAGCCAGAGGTAAAAGATTCTAGGAAACCCGGGCAGTTTGGAAACACATATAGACACACATACGTGCACACATACATCTAAACACCCATCATACATGAATACCCCCATCCATCCATACATACATATTTGCATGCACACATAGAGCCTTGGGCAGAGGTGGAGAGAGAAAAGGAGTCAGTGTTCAAGGTTCCAAGATTTGCTTCTTTGGCATGTGTACAAATAACAATGCCTCTCTGCCAATACTCTGTGCTCCCTCTTCCGATTAGATGTTTAAAACCAATCAAACCAACTGCTCTCTAGAGGGACACCGCAGCGTGAGGCACTTCTGGTTAGGAAACGACCACCCGCCTGTCTTTTCCAGGGCACAGTCATCCGGGTGTTCTCTGTACCTGACGGACAAAAGCTCTATGAGTTCCGGAGAGGAATGAAAAGGTCTGTGTTCTGTGTTAAACCCGCTTTCTAGTCCCACAGAGGCCCTGTCATGGCTGACAGGAGAGAACAGCGGCCAGCCCCGGGCTCCCCCCTCTCACCCAGAAGAAGTATTATTCATGTACTTTCTCGGGTCATTGACACTGGGGCCGCACATGGGGCTTAGTAAAACTGCCAGCAGAGAAGCAGTTGGACACAGGAGTTCAGCACATCTTTTGATGTGTGCCGGGAGAAACCAGAGAGCTCCGAGTCACAACCCAAAAATAATGTGTGATTCACTCCGTGGAAGTGTGGCTATTTGGATCCTTCCCACTGCAGCGTTCTGCAGCTTGATTGGCGCAGAGCAGCTGGCATCTTCAAAGGAGCACGGGAGGCTTCTGGCTAGAGGAAGGGCCAGGCCTTGTTTCTCTGCACCATGATCTGTATGTATATGTGTGTGTTTACACATGCATGCACACACATGCCATTACTGGACCTTGAAATTCAGGGCCAGGGCCTGTCCCTTAGCTTTTCTGCCCAAGACTGACACTCTACCCGTAGAGCTACAGCTCCACATTCAGCATTTTGGGGTTTTTTGGTAGTTAACTGGAGTTATGAGTCTCACAGACTTTCCTGCTCGGGCTGGCTCTGAACTGAGATCCTCAGTTCTCAGTCTCCTGAGTAGCTAAGATTACAGGCATGAGCCATTGACACCAGGCTCAAAACCATGATCCTTTGTGCATCTTCTCCTCATTGGTGTGGAAGGGGGATATAGAATACCTGGGTTCTTTTTTTTTGGGGGGGGAGTCCGGTCATGGGGCCTGAACTCTGGGCCTGGGCGCTGTCCCTCAGCTCTTCAGCTCACGGCTAGCGCTCTACCACTTGAGCCACAGCGCCACTTCCGGCTTTTTTCTTTTTGTTTATGTGGTGCTGAGGAATCGAACCCAGGGCCTCAGGCATGCAAGGCAAGTGCTCTACCACTGAGCCACCTTCCCAGCCCCAATACCTGGATTCTTTGAGATGCTTTCCGAGGCTGATCTGGGGACGGCAGGGTGGTGACTCTCATTGCTGGAGCTCACTGGGCTATGTGTTGCTGTGTGTAGGTATGTGACGATCAGCTCCCTAGTCTTCAGTATGGACTCTCAGTTCCTGTGTGCCTCCAGCAACACAGAGACCGTGCACATCTTCAAGCTGGAACACCTTGCCAATAGGTAAATGGGGCACAGAAAAGGGGAAGAAAGGAGGAGAGAAAGAGACAGGCCCTGACTCCTCTGCCTGCGTAGAGGATTTCTTTTCGGATGTCGCACATCTGGCCTGATTTATTACATCAGTCCATTGGTGGAGGCATGTGCAGAAGCACTAAATCTGGGCCCGTGCTCCCGAGGTGGAGATCATTGACTCTTGGCTGTATCATGTTCCTCATCTATAAAATAATCCTAACAGTGTGTGCATCGTAGGCTTGCTATGAGGATTGAATGAGTGTGGATATAAAGCTTTTAGTGTAGCAACTGATCTATAGCAAGCATCAATAGGCATTGGCCAGTGGGCTGTGGAACCAGCCTAGCTAGAAACATAGCATCGTATTATTGTCCCTGTTGCCACCTCCACCGAGTGCTTGGTAGACATGGGAGTGGGGGGTAATACAGGTATAAAGTGTGTGCTACGTTGTAGCAATGGGGCATCTGTGTGTGTGTGTGTGTGTGTGTGTGTGTGTGTGTGTGTGTGTGTTAGTTTCTATGGCTGCTGTAACAAACAGTCACAAACCTAGTCTCCACAGAGTCATGATCTCACAGCTCTGGAGGTTAGAAGCCAAGCACGGCATGGTGGAGTTCTCTGCTCGGAGACCCCCAGGGCTGAGGTGGAGGTGTCTCCATGCAATCTGTTCTCACCCGGGGCTCAGAGCCCTCTTCTGAACTCATCCCTCTTACTTGACAAGGTGCAGGTCCTGTCGGCTGTGGCTGTGACCTCTCCGCCTCCCTGCTGGCCATCGTGATCCTGGGCCTCTCACATTCCCTCCTACACAGCCTTCACACCTGCGGCCTCCTTTGCACTCCTCCTCTCCTCCTCATGCCCTTCAAACTTCCTTCCCATTGGGGAAGGAAGGGCCTCACCCAGGCTAGCCAGAGCGAGTCTCTTGCAGAGGAGTGCTGGTTTTTGTTGTTGTTTGTTTTTGTTTCTTTTCGTTAGTCGTGGGGCTTGAACTCTGGGCCTGGGCGCTGTCCCTTAGCTCTTCAGCTCAAGGCGAGTGCTCTTCCACTTGAGCCATAGTGCCACTTCCGGTTTTCTGGTGGTTCATTGGAGATAAGAGTCTCATAGATTTCCCTGCCCAGACTGGCTTTGAACTGCAATCCTCAGATCTCAGCCTCCTGAGTAGCTAGGATGACAGAACGTGAGCCACCAGCGCTGGGCAGGAGTGCTGTATCAGTTCTGGGGCGTGACCTCAGGGCCTAGGCACTGGCTCAGCTTTTTCCACAGAAGTCTGGAGCTCTACTCGTTGACCTACAGCTCTGCTTTTACTTTCTTGCGTGGGCTTGCTTCAAACCGCAATCCTCACATCTCAGCCTTCTAAGTAGCTAGAATTAAAGATGCCAGCCCCCAGTGCTTGGCATGTTTTTCTTTCTGGTTTGCTATATAGTCCAAGCTGGCCTCGAACTCCTGGGCTCCAGAGCTCCTCCTATCTCAGTCGCCTGAGTAGCTGGGACTACGGCGTACTCTACCATACCTGGCATGTGTTCTGTTATTAAGGGCAGATGTGGTTGGATCAAGCCCACCTAGGTAAACAGTTGGAGGCCACCTGAGCTGCATAACACAGCACAGCATGGACTGAGATCTCAGCAGCCCTACAGATTGGAGGCTGGGCTATGGCTCTTCAGAGGCTCACTAGAATTCTGCCTGCTGTTGGGTGTGAGTGTGTTGGTTGCTAAGCACCTGCTAGGTGCGTGCCTATGTTGGAGTTAGGAGAATTCCCGTCTCCACTAGCTAGTCTCTGGGGCTGCATCCATTGGCCCAGCCTTCCTCCCAGCATGGTAGAAAAGAATGGTTACTTTGTAACCAGTGGTGTGTCACTTAGTTTCTTATTATTTTATGATTCTAGTGACAAATTAGGCAGCTTGTGCCTAGGAAGCTGCAGACACCCAAAGTGCTTCTTGACTCTACCATTGAGAGTCAGTCTAGGAAACTGAAACAGGAAACATCTAGAGATTTGCTCAATTATCTTCTAAAAGCAGGTGCTCGAGTGAAGGCTAATGACGCTAGCCCTGACCTGGAGCTCATGTTCTGTAGCTCTGGGCTACAGAACACTTTCCACACCTCCTCCCTGGGTGCCCACGGGATTTCTGGAAGGCATGAGATACTGGGGAAACTGAGGCTCTGAGAACCCACTCAAAGCCAGCCTTAGTCTCCAGATCCAGCGTCCACAGCAAGCGCCACATTTTTACCCACCAGATTGACACTAGACTGCCAGTCAGAACTGGAGACGTCGCTCGGCCACATCCTAAGCACCCTGGTGACTGGGAGAAATTCGCCTCCTCCTAACTGGATACGCCTCTCAGGAGAAAAACACTTTCTCCACCTTCTTAGTATGGTATGGTGCCCGGCCTCTGACATTGAAGTACAGCAGGCTCTTGGTATCCGCATGTCTGTGGTTCCAGGGAGAACACTATTGAGGGAGAACCACGCATGCTCCAGAGGCATAGAGCTCAGCGCTGTTCTGAGGATGGTGGATTTTATTTTTCCCACAAGACCATCAGACTTCCACTAAGGACATTCTGTCTTCAACCAATGTAAAATTGTCCCTTTACCACTCAAGTTAAGCACATTAACTTGTACCTTGATTTTGGGGTGGTGGGAGCACCATTTGCTTTTTGGAGAATCCTGTTTTCCAGAATTAAGGTCAGGGAAACACTCAAGCGATCACAGAACGATTTAAACACAATTTGAACACAGCTGCCGATTACTTGGGGCCAGCCAAGGGCTTCTCCTGTGATGCACACAGGAAATCAAAGTTTTGTTTTTGAAATGTCTGTCTTTTTTTTTTTTTTTTGCTTTTTGTTTTTCTGTCAGTCGTGGGTCTTGAACTCTGGGCTTCAGTGCTGTCCCTCAGCTCTTCAGCTCACGGCTAGTGCTCTACCACTTAAGTTACTGTACCACTTCTGATTTTCTGGTGGTTAATTGGAGCTTAAGAGTCTCCTGGCCTTTCCTCCCCAGGCTGGCTTTGAACTGCAATCCTCAAGTCTCAGCCTCCTGAGTAGCTAGGATTACGGGTGCCCAGCTTTGTCTTCTGATTCTTTAAACTACTTTTTGACCATGCTTGCTCACAACCACGTGTAATAAATCCACCACTGGGATAGGTTTACTGTCCTGGAATGCAGCTCCCACCCTCCCCATCTCTTTCATCCCAGGTCCCCCCAAAAAGACCAGGTCTTGGCTCTGTGAATGTTGTAGCCTCCCCCCTTCCCAGAGGACTTCCCCTCACTACCACCCCCATTGGTGTTAGGAACAATGGCTGCTCCCTCCCCTGCTCAGTCTCCCCAGGGACTTTCCTAACACCTGCTTGGGGGGGGCGGGGCGGGGGAAGTGGGGCTCCCCAAGCCTGTACTTCTTTTTTTTTTTTTTGCCCTGTATGTTTTTTTGGCCCTGTACTTTTTTTCTCCCTTGCACACTTTCCTCAGAGATGAGATCTTCTCTCTAGACTTTGCTGCCTTCCCAAGCAACCTCTGAAACAGCACCACTCTCTTCTGGAGCTTTCTATCACTCGTGCTGTCCTCTGCTGGAGCAGGCTGAGCCCTGCCGAGCGCCCATCTGTTAACCAAACCCCTCAACCACCCGTGACCCAGGTCCAGGAGGAGCCAGCGTCTCCCGCCTGCTGCCTCAGCCGGCCTCTACCTGTCATTGGTGCATAGGACAGGAAACTCATTGTCCCCTGAGCTTTCCTGTGTCTGTCAGTGGCCACAGGTGACCAGGGGCCACTGGACACATCTAGGAAGAGTCAGTATATCTGGATGGTGTGGCTTGTGGCTCCCATTTGCTTCCCTGGCCTCTGCCCTTCACTTCATCATGCCTATATTTGGTCTCCTCTTCCCAGTCTATTGTATTTTATTACCTTGTCTGGGGGGTGGAGGACACATGGGTAGTGGGGTTTGAACTCAGGACCTCATGCTTGCTAAGCAGGCGCTCTACCACTTGAGCCATTCCTCTAGCCTCTTTTGCCTCAGGTACTTTCAAGTAATTCCAGCCTGGCATAAAGCAAGCCACCTATGGTGCCTCCATTTGTGGCTGGGATGACAGGTGTGGGTCACAGAGCTCAGCCATTGTGCTTCCCCATAGCTGCCATGCCAGGTGGGCAAACTGCACCCGGCCACTGGTTACGATAGAGTCTCATACTTGTTCCCAGGAATCCCCCAGTCTCAAGTTGCTAGGACTACAGGCTTGAGCCACGGTACTTGGCTCTAGCCTCCTTTGACCATTCTGTCCCTTATCCTCTTGCTAGATGATCTTCTGAAAATGCTCCTTTGCCCATGACTCCTTCTCATTTCTCCTTGTGTGATCTCTCCCTCTCTCTCTCTCTCTCTCCCTCTCTCCCCCTCTCTCCCTCTCTCTCTGCCCTGGGGAATGAAGCCCTAGCTCCTCCCTTGCCTTCAAAGTTCAGTGGCCGCCACCTCCCCGAGACCTCGCTGTACACAGCCACATCTGCCACCTACTTCGCTCTCTGCCGAGCCTCTTTCCTTCTCCCAACACACCACCAGAAAGGGACTCACGATCGTCCCTGCTTTTCAAATAAGAAAACACACAGAACCCAAGAGGGTGAGGACCTTCGGCCCTCCTGTCCCTCCTGCCTGGGCCTGAAGAAGCTGTAGCAGCTTCCTCCTCTTTTACACACCCATGTCCCCACCTTGTGTGCAGGATTGGCATGTCGTCCACCAGCACACGGCTGGGTCTAGAGGGGTCCAGGAGCTTCCTCAGAGACCCCCTGGCCAGTTTGTAGTGGTGAGGAATGAGCCAAGGGCTCTGATCTGCAGCATCAGGGTTGCTGGCAGGGCCACCGCAGGCGCTCCGGGGAACACCGTGTGCTGCCACACTGTAGAGCACAGAGACGGGGGTGTCACTCACAGTGGGGCTGTCTGGTGGAGGCAGTGGCTGCAGGGGACCTAGCAGGTCTTGTTGGGTCCCCTGGATGCCCAGCTGGCTCCCTGGCTGTCATCAGATGCCACCCAGAGTGTCTTGCCCGGAAGCTTGCCCTCGTCTGGCTCAGGAGGCCTTCCCCGCTGGGATGTGCCTGTTCCTCGCCCAGCCCCATGCAGGCAGGGGCTCGTTTTCCAGCATCCACACAGCAAGTGCAGCTCATTCTCTACCCTTGCCCATTTTTGGACATGTAGAAATCACACTAATCATCAAACACACTGTTTTTTGTTTTTTTTTTTTTTGTCAATCATGGGGCTTGAACTCTGGGCCTGGGCTCTGTCCCTCAGCTCTTCAGCTCAAGGCTAGTGCTCTACCACTTGAGCCACAGCGCCACTTCCAGTTTTCTGGTGGTTTATTGGAGATCAGAGTCTCACAGCCTTTCCTGCCTGGGCTGGCTTTGAACCACCATCCTCAGATCTCAGCCTCCTGAGTAGCTAGGCTTACAGGCATGAACCACTGGCTCCTGGCTCAGATACATGTCTTTAATACAAGAAAGCACAGGGAACCTCTTAATGGCTTCTCGATGGCTCTTCTGAAAGACAAGTGGTCCCCTAGTGATCTTTCCTTATTGCCTAAATAACAGGACTGGCAGGGGGCTAGAACCTGGGGCTCAGGCAGTCTCTGCCTGTGGCAGGGGTGGGGTGTGGCGATCACTGAGTGGACGTGGCTCATCCTGGCCTCTGCATTGCCCCTCCAGCCGCCCAGAAGAGCCTTCCACGTGGAGTGGCTACATGGGGAAGGTGTTCATGGCTGCCACCAACTACCTCCCCGCCCAGGTGTCCGACATGATGAACCAGGACAGGGCCTTTGCCACGGGCCGCCTGAACTTCTCCGGGCAGAAGAATATCTGCACGCTCTCAACGTATGTATGTATGTGTGGAGACCCGTCTTCACCCAGCTCAGCTCACAGGCGCTTTCCCAAACCTCGGGATCTCTCACGATAGGAAGGGAATAGAAGACAAGAGGCCCCCAAAGCAGGCTGTGCACAGTCAGCCAGTCACTGCTCGCCTCTCATTTTAATGGGGGTTCAGGCTGGAAGCTAGCCTGGGAATATTATCCTTCTGGCTTCTGATACCATCTTGGAAACAATTCCTCTTTATAGGTGGTTACTTAAAAATCCTCCACTTCTAGCCAGGCGCTGGTGGCTCACGTCTGTAATCCCAGCTACTCAGGAGGCTGAGATCTGAGGATCAAGGTTCAAAGCCAGCCTGGGCAGGAGAGACCGTGAGACTCCTATCTCCAATAAACCACGAGAAAACCAGAAGTGGCGCTGTAGCTCAAGTGGTAGAGCGCTTGCCTTGAGCTGAAGAGCTGAGGGATAGCGCCCAGGCCCAGAGTTCAAGCCCCACGACCGACCAAAAAAAAAAAAAAATCCTCCACTTCTGTTGTCTTCACTCAGACACCACAGGGCCGACAGGTGTTTGAAGAGGTTTAAGGAGTTAATGAAAGAAGTAGAACATTAAAAAAAATTTCCCCCCATTGAAGCCGGTTTAGGAACAGGTATGGTAGTGTATGCCTGTAATCCTATCAGTGAGGAAGCTGAGTTTATGGATGATCACAAATTCAAATCCAGCCAGGGCTACCCAGTGAGACCCTGTCTCATAATAATAGTAATAATAATAATTCAGTTGTGGCCAGATGTTAGTAGCTCACACCTATAATCTCAGAGTTCTCAGGAAGCTGGGGTTTGAGGAGACTGGTTCAAAGCAGGCTGGGCCGAAAAATTCAAGAGACTCTGTTCTTCAATGAACCAGCAAAAAGCTGGAAGTGGAGGTGTAGCTCAAGTGGTAGAGATCCAGACTTAAGCAAAAAAGCCAAGTAAGAGCATCGAGCCTTGAGTTGAAGCCTCAGTACTGGCACAAAAAGATCCAAAATGAGCACACAGAGGACCAGCCAGCAGCCCTTCTGCCCATCGGCGAACTGCAGCTTTGTCAGTGGCTGGAGAGGAACTGGTGATGAATTACTGAAGCAAGGCTGCCTCTCATGCCCTTGAGATCACAGCTCCTGTTCCCCTTGGTTCCTAGGATCCAGAAACTGCCAAGGCTTCTCGTGGCCTCCTCTGACGGACACCTTTACATCTACAACTTGGACCCTCAGGACGGCGGAGACTGTGTCTTAATCAAAACTCACAGGTGAAGAGTCCAGTTGTCACAGACAGCTGTTCAGCAATGTGTGTGTGGAGAGCTGTCGAGGCTCCACGAATGAAGTCCAGCCAGGATGCTCTCGGGTCCCCTCCTCCCTGGCTCCTTGTGGTCCCCCTAGCCTGGCTGTCATTGTGGCCAGCCCTTAGTGGATTCCCACTTCAGTCAGGTACTGTGTCAGGCACCCTCAGGCTCACAGTGCCCAGAAGCCTCACACTGCAAATGAAACACCCCCTGTTCAGCTAAGTACACAGTACTCAGTACTGTATACACAGTAGGTCTCCATAAATACAGAACTATGGAAAGGGTGACACTGATCATGATGCATTGTTCACATAATGGACATGTAAACTTGAAGTCGTGGCCAACTATTTGAAGATAATCGTTTTTAAAGTTCCAAAAATTGTTAGGGCGCTGGTGGCTCACGCCTGTAATCCTAGCTACTTAGGAGGCTGAGATCTGAGGTCCACAGTCTGAAGCCAGACAGAGCAAAAAAGTCCGTGAGACTCTTATCTCCAGTTAACCACCAGAGAATGGGAAGTGGAGCTGCGGCTCAGTCGGGAGAGCGCTATTCTTGCACAAACAAGCTCTACGACAGCATCCAGGTCCTGAGTTCAAGCCCCATGACCAGCAAAAAAAAAAAAAAAAAGTTTGCAGAATTGAACTGTGAAGTTCAATTGCTCGGGGGGGGGGGGCAAGCCTTTCTCACTAAGCAAAATGAGCAGATGGGGGGGCGGTCATTTGAACTTGCATGAATGATCCCTGATGATCTAAGCCACTTCATAAGGACAGCACAGCCTAGCAGCGGGGCTGTAATTCACCTTCAGGTAGCAGAACATGACCCTGCTCTACCTTTCCATTTGAAGACATTCTGCATATCCGGTGATTTCTTTTCTTCCCCCCACCCCTTAACTACTGCATGCAGCTTGCTTGGCTCCGGAACAACCGAAGAGAGCCAAGAAAATGACCTCAGACCTTCCTTACCTCAGTCTTACGCAGCCACAGTAGCCAGACCAAGCGCATCTTCAGCCTCCACAGTGCCAGGTAAGCCACGCTGGGCAGCCAGGCAGCCTCCAGCTGCTCTGCCCCCCTCCCCTCCCCCACTCTTCCCTGGATGGGGCCTGCTCATGGCTTTCAATCCAAGTCCCTAATCCTGACCCACGCAACACAAGAGGTTCATGTCTTAAGAAGCAGCATTAGACCAGGCTCTGGTGGCTCACGCCTGTAATCCTAGCTACCCAGGAGGCTGAGATCTGAGGATCGAGGTTCAAAGCCAGCTCAGGCAAGAAAGTCTGTGAGATTCTTATCTCCAAATAGCCACTAAAAAGCCAGAAGTGTAACTGTACAGGCTCAACTCAGGGCCAGCATCCAGGCCCTGAGTTCAAGCCCAGGACCAGCACCAAAAAGAAGTAGCATTTACCCTTTGCCTCTTAGATCATCCCACAGAGGTGCACATGCAGGCCTCTGAGGTGGAAACCAGGGAGACTCAACCATTTGTTGAGTCAGAGGCTGATAAGGAGATAGTTAGCAATCCCTGTAGTTGGAAGCCAGGATGCCACTGCGGTTTCTTTGGTTTGTTCTTTTTCTCAGACCCCCCTTTCCCCCGAGGTCCTAAGGGTAAGAATTGAGCTGTTTTCCTTTCTCCTTGGTCCCCAGGCTATTCTGAGGACGGCGGGGCGCTCCGAGGAGAGGTGATTCCGGAACACGAGTTTGCCACGGGACCAGTGTGTCTTGATGACGAGAACGAATTTCCCCCTGTGAGCATTAGGAACCCCTAAAGTGCAAGGGCGAGGGCTCTCCGCCTGACTGCCTGGGAGGAAGTGCGTGTCACCTTGCACACTTGCACACCGACTGACTCTCCTTGTTTCCTAGGCCCTAACAACTAATCCTCTGCTCTAAAACGCAGCCCTAGACCGCTGCTGGGTGCTTCGATCCTGCAGGCTAGCTAGCCCTCAGGTCGTGCTAAACCTGACCCGTTAGAATAACCCAACACTAATCAGGGAGTGTGGCTGGGTGTTCATTCAGAGACCTTCACTCCACCTTTCTTTTGCTTCCATACACTGCTGCTCATAAGGTAGGAGCTTCGGCCCGTGTGAACTCAACCCTTCCTGAGGTGCCCAGGGCTGCTCATGCCCACTGCTGCCTTCCCATTCCCCAAGCTGACCAAGCTGGGCTATGTGGCGGGGACTCAGCTGGCTGTGGGGAGCTGACCCACGCTATAGCTCTGGCCGGGCAGACTGAGTCTGCGCAGCAGCTGTGTTGGAAGGCCAGAGCTGGGAGTGAGCTCACCTGGGAACCTTTTTAAAAGGTTAGGGCCTGGACTCTGTCCCTTAGCTTTTTCACTCAAAGATGGTGCTCTACCATCTGTGCCACACCCCCAGGCTTTTTTGCTGGTTAAGTGGAGATAGGAATCTCATGGTTTTAAGCACCACGACTGGCACAGAAGAATCTTACAGACTTTCTTTGCCCAGGCTGGTTTCCAATTGAGGATCTTCGGATCTCAGCCTCTTGAGTAGATAGGATATCCGGAGTAAGCCACCAGCACAAGGCTCACCTGAGGATCTTTTCTAGGGTCCCCGCATTCTGCCAGCTGAACCGGTAGTAAGTGGTACCAGCTGAGCACTGGGTTCCAAAGTGTGCATGGGGTGGGGGTGGGGGCTGGGAAAAGGATTCTCTCCCTGGGGAGTCCCAGGTCCACTCACACCTGCTGCAGCTTCTAGCAAAAGCAACATAGGCCCCTCTCTAAGTCTCGCTTAGAAAATATCCCGGACAGACAGCTGGAGATCATTTTGAATAGCCAGTGTTTGAACCAAGGTCTGGAAAGCCAACTCCTACAGCTAAAGTGTCCATCTCCGCTTTCGTGCACAACTCATGAGGCCTGCGGTGTATTCTGCATCAGTTGAGATCCATTTGCAAAATGGCAGACTGCAGGTCTAGCTTCTTTCTCCCACTGATACATGTAACAACCTCATGAATATATTTGCCCCCCCCCAAAAAATACTGTGGGGGCTTTTGTGCATGACTAGGGGGTGTTTGTGATTTTCAGCTTGGCTCTGTGGATTGCAGCTTGACATTGAGATTTCTGGCTTTGGATAGGCAGGTGGCCAAATGCCTGGCCAGCAAGTGACGTGTATATTTTAAGTCATGGGTCAGAGTGGTTCTAAAAAATACTAATTAGAAATGATAAAACATTTGCTGGCTTGCAGCCTAACAAACGATAGCTGTCTGGACCAGTTGTTTGGCCCATTGGACTCTCATGACCCCAACTAGGACCAAAGGGCAGGGGGGTTTTGTTTGTTTTATTTCTGCCAGTACTGGAATTTTCTTTTCGGGCCTTGGGGTGCTGTCCTTTAGCTTTTTTGATGAAAACTGGCACTCTACCAATTGAGCCACAGTTCCAGTTCTGGTTTTTTGCTGACTCCGTTGAAGATAGGATCACAGACTTTTCTGCCCAGGCTGGCTTTGAACCATGATCCTTGCATTTCAGCCTCCTGGGTAGGTAGGTAGGATTACAAATGGGAGCCATCAGCACCCAGCCCAAAGGGCATGTTTTGTTTTGTTCTGTGAAAGCTGGTGGCTAGTGACCTCAAGCGACATCTTCCAGGAACCCGAGCACTCCAGGGCAGACTCGGTGGGGATAAAGGTGACCATCTTACATCACCTAGAGCTTAGAGCACTGGGTCAGGGTCTGAAACTGCTATAAAAGATTTCTACACCATGAATGAAATTCTCAAGTGAAATCAGAAAAAAATCTCTTATGCTTAGGGAATTAGGGTAATTCTGGCATGTAGGAGGTAGTCCCTTCTTACCAAAGGGAACTTGTATAAATAATAGGCACCCTCGATTGATCATTTGTTTAGTGTGAAAGAAGAAAAAGGAATTGGAGTTGCTGTATATAAGCCCTGGTGTTGGGGCTGGGAAGGTGTCTCAGTGATAGAGCGCTTGCCTTGCATGCCTGAGGCCCTGGGTTCGATTCCTCAGCACCACATAAGGAGGAAAAATTGGAAGTGGTGCTGTGGTTCAAGGGATAGAGTGCTAGCCTTGAGCTGAAGAGCTCAGGGACAGCACCCAGGCCCAGAGTTCAGGCCCCATGACTGACAACAACAACAAAACTGGTGTTGCTGGAAGGGCGGCTCAGTGGTAGAGTCCCTGCCCCTGTGAGTGCAAAGCACTGGACAGAAAAGCAAAAAAAAAAAACCCTACGATACAAAATTAGGAAGATTATTTGCCTATATATATAGGGCCAAAGAGCTGAATGCGAGCCAGTGGCCTGGTCTCCCTCCTTAATTCCCACATGAGTGAAACCTGCTTTAAACTGCCTTAAGAATTTGTATGAGCTCAAGATATAGCTCAGTGGGTAGAGTGCTTGCCTAGCACACATGAGGATCTGAGTTCAAGCTCCAGCACCCCCCAAGAATTTATATTTATATACAAGAATCACTTCCTGCCAGCAGGAGTGTTAAGATCCGACTAAGTTCCCCAGAATGGCTGTGAGACTCCAGCAAGTGCCAGGTGACCTCCGTACACGGTAGGTGCTAGATGGCGGCCACCAGCCCAGCCTGTCCCTGAGCCTGTAGGCAGAAGGTGAAGAAGGGCCAGTGCTCCCAGGGAGCCTCTGGAGCAGCAGCGGCAAAGACCAGAGGGGTGAGCGTCCTGGGAGCATGGCCCATCTGTCTTGCCCCCGCTGGCAGCCATGTGCAAGGAGGGATGCTAGAAAAGCCCGCCCGCTGCCCTGGTTCTGAACCGCCATATTGGTTGCAAGTACTGGTCCAGAGTCCATGTCTTGACTCACATTCCTTAAACGCTTCTGATCTGTAGAAGGGTCTTCAAGGATCAGCTTGGTTGAAATCTCTTCTGGACAGGAGCACAGGCCTGCCAGGGACCTCCGTCAGGGCTCCCTGGGACTCTGCCTCTGTCCCCTGGGTCATCACCAGTGACCTCTGTAGAATACGATATCACCACCCTCATACCACCTCTCTCTCCTTGGGGTCAACTTTGCTCCCAATGAGAGAAAGGCAGGATAATCACTTCTGGTCCCTCAGGAGGAACCCAGGGTTTTGTGACTCTTAGCCTTGTGAACCAGCATAAAACAGTTTTCACCAAGGACATATACTGACTTAAGTGATTTAGCAGTCCGTGTTTACAATTAAAGACGAGCCTTTTTAATGCGTATAGACGTATAAATATACCTGCACACATTTTATGTATAGCCAGTTTTTCAGTGTTCCATAATCATCTGTACCTGCATAGGACTGGGTGGGGTTCTCTGTGACCAGAGAAGCTCCACCTCCCCTGCGGACGGCGTGGCCCCTGGCCTGTAGGAGGCGCAGCCGCCCCCAGCCCCTTCCAGGGAAGAGTAAGGTCATTCTGTTTTGATTCCGGTAGATAATCTTGTGCCGTGGGAGTCAGAAGGGCAAAACGAAGCCATCCTGACGAGAAGCACGCCTCAGAAATCAGGACATCCCCTGTCAGGTGCTTGTGGAGAAACAAGGAAAGTGGAAGAATGGAGTGCGATTGTCTGAGCAGAAATGGGAGGCAGGATTGAATCCTGGGTGCTGGGCAGACTGAGCCACAGGACATGGTTAACTAACTCCTCCCTGGGCCCGCTCAGCCCCGTCTCCCAGTGGGTGCGGGGAGCTTCTGTCTATATCAAGCTATTTAAGATACCGTCAAACCACCATGCAAATGCTAACTAACTATACTGGTACATAACCGGAATTTTATATTTAAAAAGGGCATCCTTTCTACATGTATGCTGTGTAAAAAAATGTACTTATAGGAAAAACCTTTTTGAATTGTATTTCTTGTATATTACAAATATATAAAGATTATTTTAGCCAGGCAAAGTATTTTTGCAGTGAGTAGAATAAATCATTTATTATTACCTTGGAGTCCCATTTAGGACACTAAATAAACCATGGCAAATGCGTTTCTGAGGTGTTTTAACTTCATTAATATTTCTTTTTTTTATTGTGAAACTACCGTACAGAGGAGTTACAATTACATGGACAAGATGAGTACACTTCTTATCAAGCATTGTTACCTCCTCCTTTGTTTCCCCTTCCCATCTACCATCCACCCCTATTAAAAGTTTTAATGTGTAGGGAGAGCTAAAATCTTTTAAGAGGGGTAAAGAGAAGAGCAGAGCCATGGATTCATCTACACCTATCTTTGGTTGAGATCTAGGCCTCTCAAGGCATCCTTGGGGAACTTGCTAGAAATGTAGGCTCTTGGTTTTTCCTCTAAACCTACTGAACTAGGTTTTGCAGTTTCCCAAGATCCCAGGTATTCAGAAACATTGAAGATGTGTATTTTTTTTTCAATACACATACATGGCAGCATCTGAGGGCCAGACCAGGTGGGCACACCTCTAACCCCAGCTACTCATACTCAGGAGGCAGAGATGGGGGGTGGGGATTGATATTTGAGGTCATCTTGGGAAGAGATTAGTGAGACCCCATCTTAATCAGTAAGCAGGGCATAGGTAGCTAGAATTTATGATCTCAGCTATGTGGCCAGCATGGGTAGGAGGATCGTGGTCACAAGCCTAGGCCTGAACAACAACAACAAAAAAAAGCCCTAGGTTAAAAACATACTAAAGTAAAAAGGGGCTGAGGGTGTGGCTCAAGTGGTAGAGCACCTGCTTAGCAAGCTCAAGCCCCAGTACAGTCAAAAATAAAGGAAAGATGGTAAAGATCTGCTCTGCATAATACCTTTTGGTATACATTCCTGCTAAAAAGACCTGTGAAACTGGGGGCATGCCGAAGTATCGGTTCTGTTAGGTAATAAATATACCAGGTACTTTCCCGTGTTGACCTTCAAAACCACAAACCACCTTGCAAAGAAGGGTTAAATGACTGTGCCCAAGTTTCAGATCAGGAGCTTAAATCTGGGGTTGACTCTAAAGCCAGTGAGCATTCGGGACCCCTTGGCCTCCACCCCAGAGCCCGCGGGGCTCAGGAATTACCTCCAGCCCATGGAGAAGGGACAGTAGGCGCAGGGACAGGGGAGAGGGAGACAACCAACCAAAATACTGAGCCTTATTTTTATTTTTGATTTATTTGTCAGTCATGGGTCTTGAACTCTGGGCCTGGGCGTTGTCCCTGAGCTCTTCAGCTCAAGGCAAGCACTCTACCATTTGAGTCACAGCACCACTTCTGGCTTTATCTGCTTATGTGGTGCTGAGGAATCAAACCCAAGGCCTCATGCATGCAAGGCAAGCGCTCTACCGCTGAGCCACCTTCCCAGCCCTGAGCTTTATTTTTAAAGAGAGGTTAAAAATGTGCCTAGCTTCTCAACATTCCTCCTGGGGGCCACAACAGCGTGCTAGGAGGTCTGGCAGCGACAGGCGATTTGGTAGGGGTTACAACAGGGCATGACGGACGGGTCCTGAGTGTAGTCTGCCCTGGAGGTGTTGTCATTGGCAATGTCTTGAAGGACAGCCTCCAGAGCCTTCTTGACCTGAGGCAGCACGGCCTGGTACGCGGCACCCCTTCTAGGGAGGGGCCTGCCTTCTGCAGCATCGTCTTGGAGATTGAAAATGAGGGGAAATGGATGGTGCTGCTCAAACCCAATGCTCCCATCACAAGCTCTGGCTCCACCTAGAGGACGGAAGACCACAGAAGCCTCAGTTAACTCAACCTTGACTTTGAGCTGCAAAGGTGATTGACCCTGACTTAAAGACATCAGCACTTGAAAATGTAAATGATTCTTCTCCAGATCAAAGCAATGATGTCAAGAACTTATTCCAGCCTTCCAGTGATGGTCCTGTTGTCCACAATGAGTTGAAACATCTTTGACCTGCCCTCACAGTCAGGAGAACATTTATTTGATTATCTTTGAATCTGATTGGTGAATTGGGCGAAAGGGACAAAATAATTTCACGTTGAGTTGAAGATGAGATTCTCTTGGGTTTTTCTGTGTTGTGGCCAGGACTAGTGTGTTAACTCTGGGCCTCAAGCTTGCTAGGCTGGTGCTCTATCACTTCAGCCATACCTCCAGGCTGTTTTGTTTTTTTCTTTCTTTTGACTGATTATTTTGGAGATGGAGTCTCACAGGCTTTTCTGCCCAGCTGTTTCAAACCAAGATCCTCTGGATCCCGGCCTCCTGAGTGGCTAGGATTATAAGCATGAACCACCAGTGCCCCGCCAAAGATGAATGAATTCTGTATATGGATTAGAATCTGGCTACTAAGGAAGTGCTCCAAAAACAAAGATAATAAGAAACTTTTGAAAGAGAGAGCCAGGTACTTCTCTATCCTGGAATATGGTTCAGGCCATGCTAGAAGGGGGAAAAAAAGCAATCGCAGGTACACCTGTGATTCCAGCTACTCGGGAAGCAGAGATAGGAGGATTGCTATCTGGGCAAAACCACAAGAGCCTATCTGAACATTTAAAAGCAACAGGACTTTGGGCATAGCTTCAGTGGCAGAACACTTGTCTACTAAGCTTGAGGCTCTGAGTTCAATCCCTACAACCACCACCAACAGAAAAGAAAAATATCTGACAGGATAGCAAGATCCCTGGCTGTTGATGCCAGTGACTCCCCTCAACCCCTTCCCTTAATTTCGCTTGTTGTTTTCTCCATAGGGTCACCCAACGTAGCCCAGACCGACCTCTAACTAACTCATGATCCTTCCGGCCTCCAACTCCAGACGGTTGGTCATCTGCAGCTTTCTAAGCCAAAAGTAGTTAAGGTGTCTGAAACAAATAGACCCAATAGAATAAACAGAAGGAAGGAAATCAAAGGCCTTGAAAATAAAGGCATTGGCCTAGGAGCATCTCGTCTTGGTCACTGCTGAAGAGGATCAGGGCTGCTCTGACACTCAGGCCGCCTCTCCTTCAGCGAACCCTGTGTCAGGGACTTTGGAGGATGATATTCTGATGAAGAATGCAACCAACCATTGTGGTTGAGACAGTCCAACTGTTTGTTCTGTATTACGTGCCGGAGCGGAAAGCCCGGTGCAGTTCAGAAAAGGCTGATCTAGAGGTGAAAGCCATACTATCTGAAGAGGCAGCTTTCACGTCCAATCTGGCTAGAAATGTAATTTGAAAGGCTGTGGAAGAAGTAGGTCACATCGCTTGGAGGCAGCTGGCCATTAGTAGCCCCTCCCCACTCCCCGTTGTTCTGGAGCGATTACAAAGTTGCCATTTTTTGCTAGGGTGGAAGTCAAATTGCTAGTAAGGAGCAAATGAAGTGCCATGAGTTTGACCAGTGAAAGTTGGGGCTGGCCCATTTCACAAAAGTATTAAATAGCTCTTGGTCTTTCGGTTGTTGCCTCACACTTGGTAGACAAGCATTCCACCATGCGAGTGAGCCAGACTGTTGGCTCTTTTGGTAGTTTTTAGGAAAGGAGCTTGCCATTTTTGCCCAGGTGGACTCAGACTGTGTGCTTCCAATATAGCTAAGCTGCAAGACATGTACCATCACCCAGCTATTGGTCGAGATGAGGTTTGGGGCAAGGGGGTGGAGGGTGGATCTCACTAACTTTTTACCTGGGCTGTCCTTGAATCTTGATCTTCTCAACTTCCTAAGTAGCTGGGATTAGTCACTGTATCTGACTTAAATAACTCCTCAAGAGTATAGCAGTTTGCCTAGAAGCACCCTCCTCTAAGGATCACAAGTTCAAGGCCAGACTGAGCCACTCAAGGAGACTCTTCTCAAAAACAAAAGGAACTATTGTTCTCTAGATAATGATTATAAATCCTAGGCAGTATGCTCATAAGCAAATTGAAGGCTGGGCACCAGTGGCTCACACTTGTAACCCTAACTTCTCAACCAACCCAGGCAGAGAAAGTTTGTAAGGCCCCGTCTCAACTAAAAAGAATTGGGCACAGTGGGGTCACACCCACCATTCATACCGGCTATGGCAGGGAACATAAATAAAAGATCACCATCCAGACCTGCCAGGGTGAAACACGTGGACCTTATCTCAAGAATAACCACAGTATAAAGGGCTGGAGATGGGACTCAGAGTTAGGAGTGCCTCCCAGCAAGCAGAAAGCCCTCAGTTAAAACCCTAGTACTAGCCGGGCGCTGGTAGCTCACGCCTGTAATCCTAGCTGAGATCTGAGGATCAAGGTTCAAAGCCAGCCCGGGCAGGAGAGACCGTGAGACTCCTATCTCCAATAAACCACCAGAAAACCGGAAGTGGCTCAAGTGGTAGAGCGCTGGCCTTGAGCTGAAGAACTGAGGGACAGCGCCCAGGCCCAGAGTTCAAGCCCCATGACCGACCAAAAAAAAAAAAAAAAAAAAACCCTAGTACTTCCAAAGTGGGGCAGGGGAGGGGAGTTTGTGGGAGATAGGCTGGAAGCTGGAATACACTAGAAAATGAACGTGGCAGGAAGAAAACGGAAGGGATTCATCCCTTGAAGAAGAAGGCTGCATTGGGTTGGATCTATTTCTAAGAGTTGCCCTGGGGACACTCCCCAGTCTGTGGTTTCTATGGCTTGAGGTGTCATAGTTCAGGGCTACCACAAAAGAGGGCAAGTGACAGGGAAATCTCTAGGAAAGAGAAGCCACAGAGGACCAACCTTGGGATCTACATTTAAATCCTCCAATCCCTGGAGCTGATCCAGGAGTCAGCCAGGCCTGCCCAAGGGAAGATTCCAGCAACAGCTAGAGAAAACCAAACCAGCTCAGCAGCATGGGTTTCCATGCAAGTCAGAGATGTGGTTATTAGCAACTCAGGTTTCCCAGGGATGTCTCCCAAAGTCCAGGCTAGGAGCAGAGAAGGCAGTCTTAACAGGAAGAAACCACAAGTTCAAGGCAAGCAACACCTCATTAACTGCCTAAGAACAAAATAACAGCCAATCAATCCTCTGAAAACTCAGAAGTCTCTACAATGTATCTTCCAGTGTCCCACTTACAATTTTAAAACTACTGAAGGGACGATTTCCCATCTCCACATAGTCACCTCTCCATCCCAACAAGAAAAATGGGTTGCACCAAGAGAACCAATGGCTCGTGGGCAGATCTGACAAGTGGGGAGACAGGAATACCACTGTCCCCTCCCCCTAAGACAGACAGACAGACAGACAGACATCCTTTACTGTAGCAAAAGGCTAGGAAAACCTGAACCCTCATCAACCAGTTAACCCAGAGGGATGGAGCCAGCCGTCAGTCACTCCACACTTTTTCATTGTCTTTATTTATAAGGTCAGGACACAGGCCACACTATCCCTGAGTTATAGCCAGACCACGCTTCCCATGCTTTGTGAGTTTTACCAGGAACTCAACCAGATTCTCACAGTAAATATTACTAGATGATCATTGAATAGCAGGGAAGTAACACCTTTTATATAAATTCAATTCCTTTTCCTTTTTTTCTCCTTTAAGAACCTAATCAGCAAAGTAGGAATAAAGGAATTAGAACATAAACAAAGAGCCAACAGCTAAGAATCCATTCCATGGCCGGACACTAGACACTTTGTTGCTAAAATCATTTCCAGCATGATGACAGAAGAGAAGAGAAGAAGGTAAAAATTTTAAAAGTGTCCTGACTGGGAAGGAGGAAATGAAACTCTGATCACGAATGACACAATTGGTTATGTATAAAATCAGAGAGAGCATCCACACAAAGCCTGGAGTGAATAAAAAATTTCAATAGTTACAGGATACAAGACTAACACCCCAAAGTCAGGCTCTGTCTTATATATAGGAAAGAAAGTGGGGAGGGGGATTTTAAAGACACAATACCATTTACATCAGTACCCCGACCTAACTAAATGACTAAAATACTTAGGCATAAATTTAACCGTAAGTATCTAGCGAAACAAAGCAAAGAAATCTAACTAGAGATCATCCACATTCCTCCATTGAGAAAGGAAAGGTCAATACTGTCAAGGTGACAATTCTTCACACAATTTGACACAGATATTCAATGGTGTCCCTGTCAAAATCACAAAAAGTTACCTTCTGAAAAATCAGCAAGCTGATTCAGGAGCTTCTATGGAGAGATAAAAGATCCAGAGCAGACAACACAATACTGAAGGAGAGCAATGGTCTAGAGAGGTTATCTATGTTTAAAGTTGCTATATGCTACAGGAAAAGACAGTATGAACACACAAACAACTCAGTGGCACAGAATAATAGGCCCAGCAACACAGCAACATAATAATAAAAAGCTTATCTTTGAAAAGGAGCAAAGGCCATACAATGGGTGAAGTACCCTTTTTAAAACTAAAATAATGCTACAATGTACAGAAAAATACATGTAGACACATTGTATTTTATATACACAGAACAATCTACCACACAACAAACACACACACATCCTTCCCAAGTGTACAGAAGACATTTTTCCAGGATAGAACATAGGTTACAAAATAAGTCTCAATAAGTTTAAATGTAATAGATACCATACAAAGTTACCTTCTCCTTAACTGGGCATGGTGGCACATGTACTCAGGAGACTCAGAAGGATTGTGATTTAAGATCATCCTGGGCTACACCATGAAGCCCTGTCTAAAACAAACAAACAAACAAATCCTACAAAAACCACCAATTATCTTCTCTGAACATAAATCAATAAAGTTAAAAAAACCAATAACAGAAGTAAAATTGGAAAACTATAGAAATGAGTAAGTGAAACATATTCTTAACCAATGGATCAAAGAATAAAAATGAAAATACAAGCTGAGTGCTGGTGGCCTATGTCTGTAATCCTAGCTACTCAGGAGGCTGAGATCTGAGGATAGTGGTTCAAAGCCAGCTCAGGCAGGGAAGTCTCATCTCCAATTGACCACCAGAAAACCAGAAGTAGGACTTTGGCTCAAAGTAATCAAGTACTAGCCTTGAGTGAAAGAGCTCAGGGACAGTGCCTAAGCTCTGAGTTCAAGCCCCATGGGGGAAAAAGAAAAGAAAATGAAAATACAACATGACAAAACCTGTGGGATCCTCAAATTCTAATACTGAAAATAAGGTCAGGTTTGATCATGCACACCTGTAATTCTCCTACTTGGAAGATTGGGACAGGAGGATAATGAGGTCAAGACCACCTTGGACTATATAGGGAGCTGAAAAGAAGGAAATGGGCAGGGGGAGGGGGGAAGAGACAGAGATTGCAGTGCTGGGTCCTTGTTGTCCCAGGTACTTGGGAGGTTGAGACAGGGGGACTGATTAAATCCCTAAGCAACATCGTGAAACACCATCTCAAAAGTAAAATAAGATAGCTGGGGGTTGATGGCTCAGGCCTGTACTCCTAGCTACTCAGGAAGCTGAGATCTGAGGATCACAGTTAGAAGCCAGCCCTGGCAGAAAAGTCCTCTTAAGTGTAAGGTCTACTCCTGGATGGTGAGCAGACTCCACCCTGGGGAACTGTGAATTTGGTGTTTCCGTTCTTGCGGGTTATTCTTTCATGTAGGGCTGGACGAGGAAAGATTTCCTCAGCACAAGTGCAATAGGACTGAGTCATAGGCATGCGTGTCTGTGTGTGTGCTGGCTAGACAAGAGGCTGGAGGTGTAACTTGATGACAGAGTGTGTGCTCTGTGTGTGTGTGTGTGTGAGAGAGAGAGAGAGAAAGAGAGAGAGACAGACCCTAGGTTCCATCACATCACTGCAGAAGAAGTATAGTCCCAGACATAAGGTTGTACCCATTGCTGGAGGAATTGATGCCACCCAGGAGACTTGGGAAATCCACTTGGGGCTGAAGGAGCCCCTGGAGATATGTATAAACCATGGAAGTGTGCAGGCTTCTTTCTGCACTTGGGGGACTTAGGTGGGTGTGGTAGATGTGTGGCCCCATGAGGAGGCCTTGCCAGTGTTATTTCAAGCTCTATGGTGGCTATCTGGGGGAAAAAATGAACTTGTGAACAGATTATTGATTTTTTTTTTTTTTGGGGGGGGATCGTGAATCTTGAACTCTGGGCCTGGGTACTATCTATCCCTCAGCTCTTCAGCTCAAGGCCAGCACTCTACCACTTGAGCCACAGCGCCACTTCCGGTTTTCTGGTGGTTAATTGGAGATAAGAGTCTCACTGACTTTCCTGCCCTGGCTGGCTTTGAACTGAGATCCTCAGATCTCAGCCTCCTGAGTAGCTAGGATTACAGGCATGAGCCACCAGCACCCAGCTATGATTTGATCTTAAAGCAGGTACTGGGCCTAGAAATCTGACATACTCAAATGAGACCAGGCTGAGAGTGGTGGCCTATGGCTCTGAAGTAACTAGCACAATGGCAGTTTTGCAGAGGAGTTGACCAGGGTGGACATAGGCCTTATCTGACAAGGAGTAGTTAGGGGTCAGGTCAGAGAACATGGGGCATAGAGGAGTGATTTCTTTGGGGTGCAGCTACCATGGTTTTCTTATGCACATGCCCTTTTGGCCTTTGTCAGGTGCTGTTCCATCCCAACAGCAGGGCGGCCGGGGCATATGGAGACCTGCAGCCTGTCCTAACAGAGAGAAACTATTCACCTCATGGCTGCCAGGAAGTAAGGGAGAAAGTTGGGTCGAGGAACCAAGATTTCCCCTTCAAAGACATAAACTCAATGACCCCTTTCATCTAACTAGTCCCTACCCTCCTGATACTCATTCAGCTAAGAACTCATCAAGGAGTTCATCCAATAATCTCCCAGAAGCCCCATCTCTGAATACTCCTTGTACCAGGAACCAAGCCTTCAACACACAAGCCTTTGTCAGGGGGAATACGATATCTGTATATCTGTGGCAATAATTCACAACATTAGATAGTACATACAACCATTTAGGTCTTTCCCTCTGTGTACAAATCTGCCTTAATCATCTCAAAAACAAGACAAAAACAAAAAAGGAAAAACAACCAAGTACCTTAGCTAAGCCCGACCGGCAATCTTTTTAAGTTCACGAACTAGGCGCTCATGACCACAACATCCTATCCTCATCACAAAAGAACACACCGTTCTCTAACCTAATGTAGTAGAAAGAGGTCAATCACTGGGCTTCTCCAAATGCAGGTTTAAGTCATTAGGATGCAAATTTAAGTGTGGGAGGGAAGGAATCAGAACCTATCTGAGTTTTACCCTCTTCACAATTTTCATCTGCCATGGTGACAGTCCAGCATTTCCCACCCTCTCTTGAAAAGTTGGTGGCTCTCTGGCAGAGCAGGCTTCCTCCGGGTATTGTCATTCCTGTCCGATCAAGATCACTTTTAAACAGTCCTATGACTTCACAGTAACTTTTACGAGTCCAATATTCTGCACTTCCTGGCAGGGTTCTAACTTCTGAAATTAACTCAGCCTGGCGCTCCCATACCTCTGAGATAGTGTAATGTAAGGACGCTAATTTCGGGACGTTTCATCTGAAACCATAGCAAATAGCTGACTGTTTTGTTTTAGGTTTTAGGACAATCAAAGCTTCTTCTGACATTTTTAATAATCCCTTGAGTTATGAACTCAAAGGACTTGTTTTTACACCACATTTTCTGTTGTGATCACTTATGTATACTCAGGGCAAAGAAATTTTGTTTGTTATTATACAATACTTTGAAATCTGCAACATTAAATAACCAAATCAAACTGGAATGAGGTCCTAGATTTTTCTCTCTGTTCTTTTTCCTTTTTATTTTTGTTTTTCATTCATTCATGAAAAAATGTTAAGGTTTATACTGAGTGCAAGACAAGGCTAATCACTGTAAAACAATAAGACTAAAAAGCCTAAGTGCTTCAGAGTTTAGATTTTTTTTTTCATTTTTGTAAAACTAAGGATGAAAATCAGGGCCTTGCATATGTTAGGCAAATACTCTAGCACTGAGTTCCATCCTCAGTCTAGATCTTAAATTTAAACTTTTAGAAGTAACAAAGAGTTGAGTGCCAATGGCTCATGCCTGTAATCCTAGCTACTCAGGAGACTGAGCTCTGAGGATCTCCAATTAACTATCAAAGAGTCAGAAATGGAGCTGTGGCTCAAAGTGATAATGCACTAGTCTTGAGCACAAAAAGCTCAGAGACAGTGTCCAGAACCTCAGTTCAAGCCCCAGGACAGGCACACACAAACAAAAGTAACAAAGAAATAAAACAGAAATGTCAATGACTGCCAGGTACAGCAGAATATGACACATACTGCAAATCTCCAAACTCTGTCCCTCAAAGAGGGAGACAGTGGCATATGGTTTGGAGCCTTAAAAGTTGAGAGGGGCCTTGCTCTGGGGAGCCTAGAGCTGGGCAGGTAGATGAACCCAGGAATGAATCAGAATTCAGTTGGCAGCAAGAAGCACTAGAAACATCCAGATCCAATATTTCTAAAATACGCATTTAAAGCAGGCAAAGAGTTGGCGCTGGGCACAAGGGCCACACCTGCAATCCAAGCTACTAAGGAAGTGGAGATTTGGGCAGGGGCCAGAAAGGGAAGGTGAGCTCGAAGCCAGCAGAGATAGGAAATTAGCCAGGTCCATCTCAAAAAACTGGCCTGGCATGGTTGTATCCCAGCTCTACAGGAGGCTTAGGTAGGAAAATCATGATCCACAGTTGACCCAGGGGGGAAAATGCAAGACCCTACCTTAAAAATAACTACAACAACAACCAAAAAAAAAGGAGGCAGAGGGAGAGAGTTGGTGGATGGATGCGAAATGGGGCTAGAGAGTATAGCTCAAGTGGTAGCAGGCCTACTTCGAACCTACTTTGAAAACATGAAGGATGCCCAAAGAAAATGAGTTGCAACCCATCAAGAAGCAAAGAGACCTGCCAATTTACAAAAAAAAAAAAAAAAACACACACACACACACACAAACCTGAGAACGTGTTTATTGTCAAGTAAATTGCACTGTGAAATGTCTCTAGGCTTCCATTTGATAATCAGCCAGACTGGCATTTAAAGCCTAACAAGGATGGAAAACTCATTTCTCTGCAGGTGAAAAGGAGCCACACAGAAGCGCTCAGAGCTCCCAGCATTGGTCCACAGAGCTTGAATTTGGAGCCAGCATGAGCAGGGGCTTCGTGCATCTCAAAGAGGAGAAGCCACGCCCCACTCCCGGAGACCCAGTGCACCTGTGCTAAGGAGGCTGGGCATCCCACTCACCTGTGATGTAGAAGGCCTTGTACTGCTCCAGGCGGACAGTCTGTAGGTCTCCAAATGCCCCAGCCGCCCCGCTGTTGGGATGGAACAGCACCTGACAAAGGCCAAAAGGGCATGTGCATAAGAAAACCATGGTAGGGGCTGGGAAGGTGGCTCAGTGGTAGAGTGCATGCCTTGCAAGCATGAGGCCCTGGGTTCGATTCCTCAGCACCACATAAACAGAAAAAGCCAGAAGTGGTGCTGTGGCTCCAGTGGTAGAGTGCTAGCCTTGAGCTGAAGAGCTGAGGGAGAGCGCCCAGACCCAGCATTCAGGCCCCACGACCGGCAAAAAAAAAAAAAGAAAGAAAACCATGGTAGCTGCACCCCAAAGAAATCACTGCTCTATGCCCCATGTTCTCTGACCTGACCCCTAACTACTCCTTGTCAGATAAGGCCTATGTCCACCCTGGTCAACTCCTCTGTGAAACTGCCATTGTGCTAGTTACTTCAGAGCCATGGGCCACCACTCTAGGCCTGGTCTCATTTGAGTATGTCAGATTTCTAGGCCTCGTACCTGCTTTAAGATCAAATCATAGCCGGGTGCCGGTGGCTCATGCCTGTAATCCTAGCTACTCAGGAGGCTGAGATCTGAGGATCACTGTTCCAAGCCAGCCCGGGCAGGAGAGACCATGAGACTCTTATCTCCAATTAACCACCAGAAAACCGGAAGTGGCGCTGTGGCTCAAGTGGTAGAGTGCTGGCCTTGAGCTGAAGAGCTGAGGGATAGATAGTACCCAGGCCCAGAGTTCAAGATTCACGATCCCCCCCCACCAATAAAAAAATCAATAATCTGTTCACAAGTTCATTTTTTCCCCCAGATAGCCACCATAGAGCTTGAAATAACACTGGCAAGGCCTCCTCATGGGGCCACACATCTACCACACCCACCTAAGTCCCCCAAGTGCAGAAAGAAGCCTGCACACTTCCATGGTTTATACATATCTCCAGGGGCTCCTTCAGCCCCAAGTGGATTTCCCAAGTCTCCTGGGTGGCATCAATTCCTCCAGCAATGGGTACGACCTTATATCTGGGACTATACTTCTTCTGCAGTGATGTGATGGAACCTAGGGTCTCTCTCTCTCTTTCTCTCTCTCTCTCTCTCTCTCTCTCTCTCACACACACACACACACAGAGCACACACTCTGTCATCAAGTTACACCTCCAGCCTCTTGTCTAGCCAGCACACACAGACACGCACGCCGATGACTCAGTCCTATTGCACTTGTGCTGAGGAAATCTTTCCTCGTCCAGCCCTACATGAAAGAATAACCCGCAAGAACGGAAACACCAAATTCACAGTTCCCCAGGGAAGGATCTGGGAGGAAATAAAAGGCCAGCATCCTTGGTAGGTCGGTGGGTTTGAGCTGGAAGGGAGACTTGCCCTGGTATGAATGAATCATGACCGTATAGATCGCTGGAAAGGCACTTACGTGATTCAAAGTTTCCATGGGGGGGGTGTGTGTGTGTGTGGAATGAGGAACATCTGTTGGAGCAGTAAACAGCTGCCCCCACCCCACCAAGCTTCACAGCCGGGAGACAATGATGCGGTCTAGGGTGCCTCCTGCCACCGCGCACCCCCTCAACCTGTTGTTTTCCTAGGTCAACCTTGCAAACTCCCACATCCGGAGCCTTCCAAACAGGAAAAGCAGCCAGAGCCTCACTTCTTCCAGCCCCCTCCAAGCCCCACCTCTCACTGCAGGACTCAGCTTCGTTTCCCTGAGACATACAAGGCAGGGAGACTTGGACCACCTACTGGTAACTGAGCTAGGATGTGCCCACACCCCCAGCCTATGGGAATCAGGTTGGACTTCAAACCCTGGACCTCACTCTCCAGGGTGGAACTATGTAATGGAACCACGGGAGAGAACTTCCCAAACCCAACAGGATGCAGCGCGGGGGGGTGGGGGGGGATGGCTGGTGCTCAGAAATTTATATGTTTTGCCCCTTTGAGCAGACTGGCAATGACTGTCTTGTTTACATCAACCTAGGAAGAAGGCTGGCAAGTGTCCACAGGAATTGCAGCTGAAGAGATTTCTTCTCTGCATACTTGGGCCCTATTGCAAAGATGACTTATCTTTGGCTAACTTGTCGCCCCTTCCCCTTGTTGGTTGCCTTTCTTTCCTGTTCCTTTACTTGGATCCTGGAAGATGGTTCTACCTAGCATCCTCTGGAGGCAGGGTCCATCAAGAAGGAGTACACAGATCTGAATCTCCAAAGGGGGAAGGAGATGAGCTTGTTGATCCTTTCCCAGCCACACTAGGTGATGTTTCTGACCGCTAGGGGCCCCTCTAAGAGAAGCCACGGGTAGTCCAAAGACTGAACACCTGCTCTGTTCCCTCCCTAGGGGTATGCCAAATATTTTATGCCCACAGTAGACCCTTGAGTGGATTGAGCTGGGCAGGCTCAGGGCTGTTAGGAAAAGCTTCCCTTGGTGGACAATCTTTAGACCTGGTCATGACAGATGAAACTTGATAGACGGTGATGTTATCCCTTCCAGCTTCCGTCTGGGAGTCAGGAGGACACAGAGGGGAACATTGGGTTCTAGGCTGTGGACCCCTCTCCTCCCCAGTGCTCAGACAGCCCCAAACCCAATGCCCTTACTTGCCTATCTGGTCTGTCAAGATCAGGATCAAAAGGTTGACTATGCAGCAAGGTATCAGCTGCCATGGGGTTTGAATGTCACGGACATGATGTCCTTGGAGGAGGAAGAAGTGGGTCATGAGGCAGTAGGTATAAAAAATGTTATCCCGCCGTTCCCATTACACCTCTCAACCCATTAGACCCGCTCAACCCACACACTGGGAAATGGCATCAAGTGTGTGGCTGACAGAGACTCCTCTGTTGAACTCCTCTCCACACTCCCTGAAGAGGTAAGGACTCCCGCTGCTACGCAGCATCTGCATCTTGTTTTGAGCTGACCATGGAAGGGAAACTTTTGAGTTTCTAGAAACTGGAATGGTTTTCTTCACCAACCTGTATAGTAACAGGTTGTTTAAAAGTTGCTTTTTCCTTGGCACTGGTGGCTCACACCAATGATCCTAGCTATTCTGGAGGCTGAGATCTGAGGATTGAGGTTCAAAACCAGCCCGGGCAAAAAAGCCCAGGTGATTCTTATCACCAATTAACCAGCTAAAAAGCTGGAAGTAGAGGCATGGTTCAAATGGTAACGCGCCAGCCTTGAGCAAAAAAGCCAAGCGAGAGTGCAAGGCCCTGAGTTCAAGCCCTAGGACTGGCACAAAAAGAAAAGAAGAAAGAAGGAAAAGAAAGCAGGAGAAAAGTGACACATCCCTGTCTCCATTTTGTCTCTGTGTCCTCTGCCCTGAGCCGTTCTCTCTGTAGGCTCTTTACAGCCATCTTGAATGTTAGGACCAGAGGCCAGACTACCTACCAGGTATTCATGACTCTTACTGTGAAATGGCCCCGCCTGACTAACCAGGAGGCAATAAGGACATAATAATTATCTCCTGTCTCTGTCCTTCACCATGTCTCTTTATCTGGCATATGAGCAGTGTGGGGACTGGTGAGGCCTCACGTAGAAATATCAGGAATTTGGACTTCAGGCCTAAAACTCCAATTCCAATATTAGAATTCTTGTGAGCTCAGGATGTGTCTGTGGATGAATACAAACTGTCTTCATTAAGAAATACATATGTGTAATGGACACATATAGACATAGATGTATGTGTATCTGAAGTCATTCACTTTTACCTGCTGGCTTTCCTAGAGCTATTTCAGATTCAAGAGCATGTAGTCTTTCTATTCCTATTACCTCACTTCAATAAAATACCGAGCCAGCATTTGTCCAGAATTTGTCCTCCAAATTCTGGGCCAAGAGGCAAAGTTAAGGAGCAAACACCTGAGTTACAAACCATCCCAGCGTCTCCCGTGAAGTCTAGATTGATAACCATTTCTCTGCTCTGGTTCCTGGGTCTACCCACTGTGCTGGCCCTCCACGGGTCTGGGCAAAGCTGCCTGCTCCTGGATCTGGGAACGGAAGTGCGCACACGTATAAAGGGGCTGGCGTCCAGAGTGGTCAGCCAACGTCAAGAAGACCACAGTCCTTCCAGCCCTTCCTGGTGACAGCAATTATCCTGCTGGTAGCCATGGCAATAAACACTTCGGAGTATCTCTCCCTGATGTCTTTTTTACATAATCACCCCTCACCCCCCCCCAGGGTCTCACACACACACACACACACACACACACACACACACACACACACACTGTTGACTGTTGACTACCAGCCTACTACGGAAACCATCTTCCTGCTAGAAGCTACTTAGGAGAAGCACTGGTTGGGGGGAGGGGGAAGCGGAGAGGGGGGAAATGGGAGGACTTGCCACTCTGCAGGGACAGACTAGAGAGAGCTTCAGAGAACCTTTCTGGCCTGAGCTGTTAAGCCCTAAGAAACGCTTCTGGTGTGCAGATGTGTTGACGGCCCATGTTCGGATGGGCCTGGGAGAGGCTAGGAGTGAAAAGATCGTCATTAGGCACCGGGCACTTGAGCACAGCTGAGTCACTTACTTCCATGTGACCCTCGAGACAGAAATAGACCCTTTGAAGTATGGATCCCCAAGTGGTGAGCCTCCTCCTCCTCCTCCAGCCTCCTTCCCTCCTCCCACTTCCTCTTCCTCTCAGGGAAAGGAAAGCACATAGGAACAACAGGGAAGGGTCACCAGGACTGAGACTTCCTGACTGCCACCAAGGACTTCAGATATACTGAGGGGTCACTTGAGAAGCAGATGCCCAAAGCCATGGGGGCTGAGGGAGGAGAGGCCAGAGGGGTCTCGGTTAAGAATGGGCTGGAGAACAGGTACTGAATACTCCTAAGGGAAGTATAGGGCTTTATGAACTGGCTGGCCTTGCCTTCCATCCAAGAGGGCTGTCATTCATTCACTCACTCATTCACCCTCTCATTCATTCATTCATCCGTTCTAGTGAAGGGCTAGCTGGATGCAGACACTCAGCTTCACTGAGAACTTGGGAGGTAAATTCCCAAATGGGATCCCTGCCCTTGAGGCTTCTCTTTCTGTTTCCCCACAATAAACAAGTCACAGACTCTGGTCAGAGAGCACATCCAACAAAAGCATGTTGGGTACCTAAGTTGTGTCAGGATGTTGAAAACATGTCGGTAAATAACTCATTAAAGAGAATAAGCATCCAACCCACATACGTCTACCCTATGCCCAAATCGATCATTATAATCTGGACTGGTGAACTTGATTCATGGCAGGGGGGCAGGAAGGGAGCAGGAGGTGAAGAGAGGTTCATCTCAAAGGATTTAACCCTCAGCATTTCTGGCCCAGGTTTGAACTGGCCACGTGCATGCAACTCCTGAGAGTGTTGTGTTCATGCACAGGCTCAGATCTGAGCCTCAGCCCAGCAGAGCCCTGGTATGGGAACATGCTCCTCCCACTTACCCTGTGACCCCTCTGCGACCTGCCCAGCAATACTTCAGAGACATCCAGTCCATCGAAGTGTCGGTGTTGGGGTAAGCTGGCTCCCGCCAGGGCTACTGCCGTGGGGAAAATGTCCAGCACACTACAGAAATAAACAAGACTCGGTTGACAACAACTCTCTCAACTCTTCCTTCTAGGCCCTGATGTCATCAAAACCCATCTGAACCAGCCCAGAGAAAACAATGGCTTTCCCTGCCCTCTGCAGCCGACAAACTGCCTTTCCTCATCTTGACTTCTTGAAGCTACAAGAGACAGAATGGCATGGTGGTTCAGCACCCAGGCTCTGTAGCCAGGGACTGTCTGGGCTAAAATCCCAGCTCTACACCTGTCTGACTCCTCAGTATCCCAGTTTCCTCTTCAGCAAAGTAGTTGTTTTAATAACAGTACCCTAACCAGGCACTGGTGGCTCACGCCTGTAATCCTAGCTACTCAGGAGGCTGAGATCTGAGGATCATGATTCAAAGCCAGCCCAGGCAGTAAAGTCTGGGTGACTCTGATCTCCAATAATAAACCACCAGAGAACCGCTGTGGCTCAAGTGGTAGAGTGCTAGCCTTGAGCTGAAGAGCTGAGGGACAGCACCCAGGCCCAGAGTTCAAGTGCCACAACCGACCAAATAACAGTAATAATAATAATAACAGTACCCTTCTTGCAGGTGGTTGTGTGGGTAAAGCACACAGGTGGGCACTCAGAATGGGCTTAGCGGATGTCTGCGTTATAACTATTCACAGGGACACATCACGAGCCTAGGAACTCAGGGGGTCTACCTGTCCCCAATTAGGCCACAGCCATTGGCTTTACAGGAGTCCTATATAGCAGTGTCTACAAGAAAGTATTCCCCATGTTCCGCATCACCCTGTTCTCATAAATATTTACTCTTTTGTCATGAAACGTGAAATTTTAGCTATTATGTGTGAAACAGCCCACTGCCATTATTCTAGCGCATCCAGCGCATTGCGAAACTGTAAATGATTGCGGTAAAAAAAAAAAATTGAACATCCAGAAACATAAAAAAGAACAAGCAGTCCAACACCCATAGACAGCCATTGTTAACCTTCTGGTGGGGTTTTGTTAATGAGCTTTCTTTTTGGTTACAAGGTATACTTGAAACCTCCCTCCAGCTCACAGTGTTCACCTGGGGGAGAGGAGAGGACAAAACAAAAAAACCCAACTCTAATGAGAACAGAGTGGCCACCCTTTCAACAGAGCTGTTTACCTGAGGGCAGACCAACTCAGAGCCAAAGTGAGCAGGTGGATGATGTCTTTCTCAGGCTGAGCTTCCCCAAGAAAGAGGTCCTGGTAGACCAGAAGCTCGGCCTAGCAGCAGGATTCAGACTCAAGAGTGGGAAGCCTCAAAGATCTCATCTCTGAGGCCTGAGGTCGTGGAGTTGACCTGTCTAAAGGACCGGCCATGTGTGTGCTACCTCCTCTGCTATCCTCCCACCTCCTTTCCCTGCCAATGCTCTGACTCTGCTCTGTTGCCCAGTGTCTCTGTGGACTGTGGTACTCTAGGTTTCTGCTTGCCCATGGCTTTCACAGTCCACAAAGCTTATCTCTTGAGAAACGCGCTCCATGAACCGGCACCCAGAGTCAGCACTTGCAGAGACCAGAAGAATCCAGAAACCTGTCCGAAGTCCAAGATTTCCTGCTCTAAATTGAGAAGCAGAGAAAGACTCTGCTGCAGTGTGAAAGGGTTGGCGTGGTTTGGGGATATTTATTCAAGGATTCTCTAAATTCTACCTCTCAGCAAGATCAGATCTCAAAATGGGTCAAATCAGTGAGCAAGAAAATCATGATTCACATTAGGGCTTTTTGTTGTTGTGTTTTGTTTTTAGAGTGTGTGTGTGTGTGTGTGTGTGTGTGTGTGTCTGTGTCTCTGTGTCTGTGTGTGTGTTGGTATTGGGGTTTGACCTCAGGTCCTGGCAACCTTGTGTGCACAGTTCCACTTCTGGCTTTTTCTGCTGGTTAACTGGAGATTGGAGTCTCACATACTTTCCTGCTTGGGCTGGCTTCAAACCATGATCCTCAGATCTCAGCCTCCTTAAAAGCTAGGAATACAAGCAAACTCCAGCTCACATTTGGGTTCTGACATGAATCATGTGTTTTCTTTGTCATAGATGGGTCAAGTTGGTGAATGACAAAAACTGAATCTGCATTAAGGGTGTGGAATATTTTGTAGGTTTTCCTTTTCCCAGTCCCCCTTTCTCTTGTGAAATTTAGCATTTTAATTATAGAGCCCCGGTTTGAAAGTTTATGGAATCCTCGTGTCTCAGCCTGGCAGCAGCCTTGGAGGTAACTAGTTCATCCAGAAAACAAAGAAAACCTTCGCCCACGAGAAAACTTCAACAGGTCTGGTGACTCACACTCCTCAGGGCAGCCCAGTGCAGCAGCGCTGACAGGCTCAGACTGTCCAAAGATCCTTCCCCAACGAATAAAGCATGTCCAGCCTGGCTTGGAGCTGAGCCTGTGGTACACACAGCTCTGATACCATTCCAGGGCTAGGTCCTCGGCCTGCACGTGAACTTGGAGACTGCAGTCCCACTCTACAGTGGTACCAATGGTACCTCAGCTATTCCTAACCTCAAACCTCATGCCTCATGGAAGAAAGTGATCTAGGGAGTCTTTGAAACCTTGGAGAAAGAAAACAAACAAAACAAAGCAGAAACCCCCAAACCTGCATTTTTAAGTTGTTTATTTCTATGTTTGACGTTTGATAGTGTCGTATTTTGGCTCTCGTGGGAACTGGGTGGGTGCTTCCGCTTATGTGTCCTCTTCCATTTAAAACAAAATTAGAAAGTATGCATTCTGTAGCTGGGAGAGATGACTCACTCCTGTAATTCCAGCTACTCAGAAGGCAGAGATGCTGAGGATCTCAGTTTGAGGCCAACCCAGTCAAAAAGTTAGAAAGATCCCTATATCTCAACCAAAAAGCTGGACGTGGTGGCTCAAATCTGTAACTCCACATACACCAGAAGCACAGGTAAGATGATATAGGTCCAAAGCTGGCCCTAGGGGGGAGGAAGGGAATCACAAAACTATGTCTGAAAAATAACCTAAAAACAGAAAAGGCTGGAGTTGTGGCTTAAGTGGTAAAGTACTTTGTCTAGCAAACACAAATTCTCAAGTTTGAACCCCAAATAATTATGCTGTAAACTGCACTGATGTCAAGATAAATATATATAATCTATACTAATCTATTTTATTCAACCTAAAAGTTTGGGATTTTCTTTGGAATTGAAAAGAAAAAGAAAGAAAGAAAGGAAAAAGAAAGAAAAGAAATTAGGGCTGGGAAGGTGGCTCAGTGGTAGAGCGCTTGCCTTGCATGCATGAGGCCCTGGGTTCGATTACTCAGCACCACATAAGCAAAAAGAAAATAGCCAGAAGTGGCGCTGTGGCTCAAGTGGTAGAGCGCTTGCCTTGAGCTGAAGAGCTGAGGGACAGCGGCCAGGCCCAGAGTTCAGGCCCCACAACTGGACCACAATAAAACAAAAAACAACCAAAAAAAAGAAAGAAAAGAAATTAGCCAGGTACCAGATCTGAGGATTGCGGTTTGAAGCCAGCCTAGGCAGGAAAGTCTGTGAGACTCCTATCTCTAATAAACCACCCAAAAGCTGGAAGTAGAGCTATTGCTAAAGTGGTAGAGCTCTATCCTTGAGTAAAAAAAAAAGCTAAGGGACAGCCGCCAGGCCCCAATTTTCAGCCCCAATACAGCACTGAATAAATAAATAAACAAGCGAATAAATAGAACTCCGTAGGCCCTTAAAAGTCTCAAGAGCCTTGGCACGGTTTCCTAGGCCTGACAGAGAAGCGAACCTGGTTCTGAGCAGAGCAGCCAGCAGCCTGCTCCCCAAAGAAGCGGGCTGGGATGGCTCAGCACAATGACACAAAGGCCCTCATCCTTAGAACAAGCAGGGTGACACCTCTGCAAGTTCCACTATTCTTACAAAATAGTTTCTTTTTCCTTCATTTTCTGACTAGCCCAAGGTCCAACGGCTGTTCATTGGAAATGAACATGCTTGTGTCTTTATGGTTTAGAGATTCATTCTTTTGAGACTGGATCTTGCAATGTTGCCCCTCATGGCCTCAAGATTCCTGGGCTCAAACAATCCTCCTATCTCTGCCTTCCACGTAGCGAAGAGTGCAGGTTTGCACTAGCATGCCCTACGAGGAACTAGGAGTCGTGATTGGGGTGAGGAGGGTGCCGAGGGGTATGGTTCTGCTTACTGGCTCCAAGATGAGGATCTAGGGGGCCACAGGGGAGGCTCTCTGCCAGTGGTTGGGTCCTGGACAACAGGCCACAGATGAATGGAAACAGGGGTGCCAAGATAGGCAGTTCTGGGCTATGCAAAGGAGACAACACAGGTGATTTCCCAGGGCTGAGGTAGATATGACCTGAGAGTGGGAAGTAAAAGGAGACAGGGAGTCAGTCTGGAAAACTGGAAGGACTTAGACTAGGGGGTGGGGGGGTCGCTCCTCATTCTCCCCAGAGTGGAAGAGAGCCGGTCCTCCTCCAGTTAAGGAGTGGGCCCAGTTGGAGGGGGAGGGCAGTTGTCTGGGGAGAAGGGTGTTTAATGGCACGGTAGACGTCTTCTCCAACCAGTTGTGACAAACAAAATATCCCCAGAAAGTGCTTAGCTGCTCCTCTCCGGGGAGGACAAGCGGATGCTGGCTGTACGCTGTCTCGGTGGATTTCCCTCGGCCTTCACAAGCAGCTTAGGTCTGCCCTGTGCTTGAGCAGGGGACGCCCACCCCCCAATCCTCATTTCGGACAATCGGGGCAAGTAGAAGTGAGCAGAATGGTAAAAAGGACTTGAAGTCACCACGTTGGGAAAGCACCTAAAACTACCATTTAACCAAGAAGGCAAACAGCTCTTGAGCTACTATCACTAAGACTGTGTTCAGACACCCCCAAAGTACTAAAGGACCCCAAAGTTGGCAATGCCAACTCTGAAGAATTTGGCACGGAAGTTGGAGCCTTCTCTGCCACCCATTTGCCAAAGCCGTCCTCCAGCAGGTACACTGCTCCACACCAAGAACTTTCCTCTGCCACCTCCCCCGTCCCGGGAGCCAGGCTTGAGCCCAGAGCTGAACCCAGTGATCAATGATGGTATCTGTGTCCCTGAGGAGGTGGGTGGTATGTGAGACCTTCCTTTCATCTCGTTGTATCACCCAAGCGTGCGGCCCAAAGCCAGCAGTTTATCGCTGGCGGAACTCACAGGGACCCCTCAACAGACTCTTTTCCTTTCCATCTTGGGGTGAGTATTTATAGCAATAGGTTGAAGGGACTTTGGCCTTAAGGAAGTTATTTGTGACTTGGAATAAGGTTTCTGCCCTCTGAGAATAAAGTTCCAGAACAGATGATAAGCCTTGGGCTCCCAAGAACAGGAAGTACCAGCTCCTTGAATCTATGACAATTTTTTTTTTTGAACTCAAGGTTTCATGCTTGCTAGGCAGGTGTCGACTGCTGGAGCCAGGCCTCCAGCTCCGCTTCCTAGACTGTAATTCACACAATCCCACTCTCCTTGGAGCCTGGCTGAGGGAGAATTTGTAGAAAAGGCAGTTAGAAGTTGCACCCATATGGAACAAACTGGATATCCATCTATGGAAGTAAACAGAGTGTTAAACACAGGTTGGTTGGGAATGTGGCTTAGTGGTAGAGTGCTTGCCTAGCATGCATGAAGCCCTGGGTTCAATTCCTCAGTGCCACATAAACAGAAAAGGCCAGAAGTAGAGCTGTGGCTCAAGTGGTAGAGTGTTAGCCTTGAGCAAAAGAAGTTCAGGGACAGTGCCCAGACCCCGAGTTCAAGCTGCAGGACTGACAAAAAATAAATAAATAAAATAAGAGCCAGGCACCTGTAGCTCACATCTATAATCCTAGTTACTTAAGTGGCTGAGATCTGAGGATCACAGTTGGAAGCCAGCGAAGGCAGTGTTAAATTAATGAATCTGTTAATTTAACACCTAAAATATCTCAAAAAGAGCTGGTGCAGCCTATTACGTTTCAAGAAGTCACTTCCTTTGGTCTCCAACCTATCCCTTTACTCAGTTGTGCCTTCATTTTTCAATGAGGGAAGGCACTTTTAGGGTGTTGCTGAAGTTGGTAGTAAGTGCCCCTGGTGAAGTTAATGGTAAGACCCACTACCCCCAATGAGAAGCTGCTACTTGAGTTTCTCAGTGATATAACTGGAGAGGCTGTGGAGTTATTTGTGTATGTGCAGCCCAGCCCATGCACCTTTGGCTCCCTTTGATAAGTGCTGGGACTACACCCAAAACAGCTGGTGGCTCACATCTGGAATCCTAGCTCCTCAGGAAACTGAGATCTGAGGATCAAGGTTCAAAGCCAACCGGGCCAGGAAAGTCTATGAGACTCTAATTAACCACCAAAAGGCCAGAAGTGGAGCTGTGGCTCAAGTGGCAGAGCACTAGCCTTGAGAAGAAAACTCAGGGACAGAGCCCAGGCCCTGAGTTCAGGCCTCAGGATGTGTACACACACACACACACACAAGCAACCCTGCTGGCCTTCATCCCAGTCAGTCTGACATCACAGGTTCCAGACTGTGCGATTGTTGTCACACCTGCTGGTACCCGCTGACATCATGCTGACTCCTGACAGCACGGGGCCCATCCGAGTTCCCTACAGGCTGCTGCTGGATGACGCCCGTACACCTGCCGCTCTTACAACCAGGGCTGGTTACCCTTTCCTGTCCTGGGTATTGGTCTCCATCCTACCTCCCTGCTGGGCCCGGAGATGCTCGAGGGTGCCAGCGACATTTACTTTCTTCTCCCGGGGAACTGGGTCTTCCACCAGCTCCCCATTGGGAGTGTACACAAAAGTAATAGAATCTGGGGAGTACCTCCAACCCTTGCTGGGGAGCACAAGGAAGAGGGGAAGTGCCCATTCCGATTGGTAAGACGCCTCTTTATAAGTCACAGCTCCCTAGTTGGAATGCTTTCTCACAGACACAGCACAGTCGGGTTCCCGGGCAAGAAACTGGCTCTGAGGATCTGCCTTGTGGGAGATAACAACGCCCCACTGCGTCCCTTCTGATAAGTCCCCAGGGACCTGCAACCCTCAAGGAGCCCCGCTGCCCCAGGCAGGAAGAAAGTCCTCACCTAAGGACCCATCCTTCCCACCCCTGGGACCCCCTGTCCTCTCCTCCAGGACAGGTGGACCTCTGTACCCCACTGATGTGCTGATCCCAACCCTAACCCCCAAAGAGAGTACAACTAGGGTTTCACGACCTCTGCTCTCCACTGGCTGACCGGCTGGATGCAGGCCCAGAGGGGAGATAAGACCTCTACCTCCCACGTCGCTAAGACCCAAGGCTGTAAACCCCACCCCATCCCTACTCCGCTGGAGCTGGTCCCCAGGGACGGTCTGTTCCCACCACACACCCCTTGGATTATAAGCACGTGGAATTGCCTACAGGCAAATCCACGCGGCTGCCAGTGGAGAGCTGGAAGTATCAGGTATACTTGGCCAAGGCAGGTGGCCAAATGAACATCCTAGTATTTCTGGTGACCCGATATCCACCATCCGTTAGGGCTCCTGCTTCACATCTCAGGCCATTTGGGTTTCATACCTTAACAAAGCAGGGCTGGTGACATTGCCTGGGACTCTGCCAGGCCAGTAAGCCAGTGCTGGGACCCGGTGGCCGCCTTCCCAGGTGGTCTGCTTAGCTGGACTTCCTCCTGTGAGAGGAGGCAGTGGTTGATAGACAGCAATCACTAGAAGCTTCTCTTCAGCTAACAGCTAGTGGCTGGGAGAACAGTCCCTCTTTGAGTTTCCAATAATCCCACAAAGAAATGGCTTTGTCTTTCCAATCAGCTCTTTCTCCCCAGCTAGCTAGTATCTTTCAATACAAGCTTTGATTTTCCTGGACTTGACAAGCAGAGGTCTCCGGGCCCCTGGCTGAATCGTGTCATTTGATTCTCTCTATAACACAGTTCCCATGAAATGGTCTTGTTGCTTTGTGACCACGTTTCGCCCGTGTCTCTGCATCCATGTGATTTCATCTGTCACAAGACCCCAAGACATAGTAAGTGCTTAACAACTCTTGGCTGAATAAATCAATCTGTCTTCCTGCTGATCGTAATGAGACTATCTAATTAAAAGGAAAAACTATAATTATTTCAGAAAAGGACGAGGAGGGATTCTTCCAACTACTTCAATTGCCCAACCTACTTTACATGAGTTTTATGGCTTTCTTTTGCTTTTTCCTTGAATTAATAAGTTGTTCTGATATTAAAAAGACAGTCCATGAGACTCTTATCTCCAATAAGCTACCAAAAAGCTGGAAATGGAGATGTGTCTCAAGTGGTAGAACACTATGCAAAATCAAAAGAAGCTCAGGGACAGAGTGCCCAGGCCTTAAGTTCAAGTCCCAGGACCAGCACAAAAACAAACCAAAGAAAGAAAGACAGTGTCAGTAGTAGCCCCAGTCTCTTTCCTCTTGGTGGAAAGGGTAAGGATAATCTATGTGCAATCTATGAATTTCCACATAAGCAATTAGAGAGATTATTTTTATAAGCATGAAGTCAAAAGTGACCTCTAGTATAATGATAGCCAGAGGGCTAGAAGAGATGAGGTCATGTTTTCTGGAAACGTCCTGAATCTTGAGTTGTGCTGAATTAACCATGACCATCTTCATCACTCCCCCACACACCCCACCCTCATCCTGGTTGAGCCAGAGGCCAAGGATTCCACACAGTTTCTCATGTCAAAAGCCTCTCCAAGGCACAGTGTGTGGCTCCCACATGCTTTGCTCCTGTGACCCCCCCCCCATGGTTGGCTGGTGTGAATAATAAAAGCCATGATGGGTGGGGAGAAAAGGGACCGAGACGAAGGCTTCTTCCTTCTAGAAGACACAGCCACGTGCAGAAACTTCACTGTCCCTAACACCGGAAATGCTTAGCATTCTTGGGACCAGCTCTGGAATCCCCCCAAGTGTGGATGAAAGAAACACAACGCAAAACAATCTCCCCATGCTAAGCCTACGGACTGTTTATGTTTAAGGGTGTGGACTTGGAGAAACACATTGATGTCTCTGCAGACAGTAGAAGGAGTTCTCTGACTCCCTCCAGCATTTCTCAAACATACTCTTCTCCTCAAGCGCCATGTCTCTGATTATCCATGCACGTGGACCAGAGAACCCAGCATGGTATTGCACCTAAATGCATGTCCACGTGGCTTTGGCATGCATGATGGTTGCCTCTGCTTAAGGCCAAAAAAAGCAGAGTGTGAATCCACCCGCACTAGGGCCGTGGGTTGCAGTCCAAGCCCCAGGAAGGACATCTGCATGGAAGCTTGGGAGTACGGGTAGGCAAAAAGACGTGGCGTGTTTATCTGCCCATCTGCAGTACATGACATTCAAACAGATTTGTTTAACCTTTGAGTCCAGATGTAAGCAAAGGCCAGAGCTTACGCTCCGAGAAGCAAGCCATTCACTCTGCTCTGTGACACAGCATTCAGGTCTCTGCCTCCTGGATGTTTCCAGAAGGGTAACCTATCTCCAAATAAATAAACTTGCTAAGGAGGATTCTGCTTGTTGGCCATGACCTTCCGTGTGGACCTTTCGCAGGTGACGGACCTTCCCAATAATTTTCAGGGGGAAATATTTCCATGTGTTTGTCTTTGTCAGTGGCGGTTCAAAAGCTCGGCCAGTTATTAAACCAGCATGTGGCAACGAGGTGGCAAGCCACCTACAGCTATGCAGAAACTAAGAGGAAGAGAAGCGAGGGTCCTCCGAGAGGGGGGCCCTTGGTGTGACCACTTGGGGCTGGTCAGAACCCTGGGTTCTATCTAACAGCAGACACAGGGTAAGCGAGGTATGATGGTGCCCATCTATCATCCCAATTAAGTGGAGACCTTGGTAGAAGGATCTCCGTCAGAGGCAAGCACCAGGCAAGAAGTGGGAGATTCTATCTACAAAATAACTAAAGCAAAAAAGGGCCGGATGTATGGCTTAAGTGGTACAGTGCCTACCAAGGGCAAGGTCCTAAGTTTAAAATGTGGTAATCTGCCTCCCTCCCCCCTCCACCCCCTCCTAAACAAAAAACCAAAAAGACACATTTGTATATTATAGCCATGCAAATGATTCAGACCCACCGACCTTAGGATCAATCAGTTTAGCTACTAAAGCTTAAGAGTTTTGCCAGAAGTTTTGGTGGCTCAGGCCCATAATCCCAGCTACTTGGGAGGCAGAGCTAGAGTATCATGAGTTCAAGGCTAACCCTGGGCATAAGGTAAGGAGATCCTATCTCAAACAAAACAAAAGAGCGGGTGGCACAGCTGGATCACTTGTCTATGCTGGGTGAAGTCCCAGATCTCAATGCTCACTACTAGAAACATAAAAGGGGGAGGGGCCTTAGTATGGCAACCCATCATAAAAATATGGATATAATCACCCACAATAGGGATGCTGTTATCTTCCAAACCCATTTCCCCACTGGCACTGATAGGGACAGAGAGTCCACCCAGAGTCCCCTGGGAACACCTAGAGGTACACAATACAATTTGCCTGGGCTACACGGTCAAAAGCTGAACGCCAGAAGAGCTGTTCTCGGTCCCTGGTACTTTCCAATGGCACTTCATCACCCATCAGAACTTAATGCAAGTTCAACATCATAATAATGAACCAAATCATCTATTATTTGAGCCCTGACTAAGTACCAGGTCAAGTATTCCTAAGCAGATTGCTAAGTGCTTCCTGGCATTATTTCAGTGAATCCGTACGGCAATCTTTCCAGCGAAGGTTTTTTTGTTTTGTTTTGTTTTGTCTTTTGTTTTTAATTTTCAGATGAGGAAACCAAAGCTGAGGAGAGGTAAAGTAATTTACCCAAGGTCACACAGCTAGCAAGTCCTACGGCCTGGATTTGAGTCCAGGTGTAACTGCCAACACTTTGACCCTCAAAAACCATCTAGGGCAATGCTTCCTACCCTGATCGCAGGGTACACTCATGAGTGGAGAGGATTTTTTTCTTCTCTAGAGCCATGCCAAAGTCATTTTCCCACAGGTTTATGATTTAATTGGCTTGGAGAGAGGCCTAGACCTCAAAACCCTATAAAGCCCTGCCAAAGGTATAGAGCAGAACTCAAGATCAGGAAACAGACACAGTGCACTCCAAAGCTAAATGTAGCTGGGTGCCTTTTAATCACAGACTTTCAACTGCCCATACCTTTCTACTTCTATAAGCACCATAAATGGAACCTAATACATTATATATAGATAAGTTCATACCTTGAACTCTAATTCACTTTTTGATTTGGAAAGCTATTTGCTAGTTTAGACAAGCCTTCATGCTGGGATCCACAACATCCGTATGTTAAACGTGAGGGTTGCATTTGTCTTTCGTACGGCCAAGAGAATGCATTTCAATGCATTTGTGGTTACGTTATGACTCTAATTAAAGCAGCATTTCTTACTTAAAGCCATAACTATTTGGTCTCAGCAACAAAAATATAACCAGACCTGTGATTCATGAACTTGCTTTCTTGTTCTTCCTTGGCTTCGGCCGTGAGTGACATTTTATAAGGCATCTTGACGGGGCAGGGTGACCAAAGTGCCCCACTGCCCACGCCTAGAACAGCAGCCTTGCTCAGAAAGGACCAACGCCACGTTTCACTGCACAGAGCAGGATGGCACTGCAGACCGTGCACAAACTTCTCCAGACGAGAGAATTGCTGGGTGTGATTTTGCCATGTTAATTTTAGATTCTGAACCAGAAGCCGGTGGCTCACGCCTATAATCCTAACAACTTAGGAGGCTGAAATACGAGGATCACAGTTCAAAGCCAACCCCAGGCAGAAGAGTCCATGAGATTCTTACCTCCAATTAACCACTGAAAAGTGGTGCTGTGGCTCAAGTGGTAGAGTACCAGCCTTGAGCACAAAGAGGCTCAGGGATAGCACCCAGGCCCTGAGTTCAAACCCCAGGCAAAAAAGAAAAAAAAATAATTAGATTCTTAGGTTCTAGGCCTAGAAAAATCTAATTGCATAAGACTGGAATAAGGCTTTCCACTCTAGATTATTCCAGTACCAGGAGTCTAAGGACTACAGGGTAAAGAAGAAGATACCTTTTTTAGACCAGGCAAATCTGAGCTCTAATTCCTATTCTTCTAGCTCTTTGGGTTTGGGCAGAATTCAGTGCCTTAATAGTATTGGGGAAAACCACTATACTTATCTCTTAGGCTTGTGGGAATAGTCAAACAAACTCGGGCATATAAGGTTCGAAGCAAGCATTTTCTGCATAATGCTTATCACAAAAGTATCCAACATTTGCAAACCTTCTCTCAAACCAACCAAGCAGGGAGCTGGTGGCTCATGCCTGTAATCCTAGCCACTCAGAGGCGTAGATCTCAAGGATGATGGTTTGAAGACAGCGCCAAAAAAGCCCGATGTGGAGCTGGGACTCAAGTGGTAGAGCAGGAAGTAGTAGCCTTGAGGGAAAAAGCTAAGGGACCGTGCCTAGGTCCTGAGATAAAGCCCCAGGACTAGATTAAACAAACTTATTGGCCTGTAGATTCACAAGAACACAGCTGGTAGACTTGCCAGCTCAAACATGAAGATTTGATATGTCCTCTAGTTGTAGGCAATGATTTGGATTCCTAGCCCTTCCCACTGCTGGCCCAAGCGAACACACATTCCTTTCTAGTCTCTGTCTGTCCCCGGAGGACATCAACACCTGTGGTTC